AGCTCCTGAGACAGGGGGCAGTCCTGCTTGGGGACTAAAGCAGACGATGAGAAAAAAACACGATAAGCCAATTTTTCATGAAGCACATTAACAGAAGAATTATATGAAGAAACCATCAACCAGGAACATCGAGGAACAGTGTGAATTAAGTAAAAACACAGCTGCAGTTTTTCCCATGTGCCTTATTAAAATGTATTCGAAATATATCCTAAATGCATTTGGAGTCTGTTGCTTTTTATTTATTCTTACAAAATATGTTATTTATTATAACGTATAAGGACATTCACTGGAACTTTATATAAACAACACTTTTTAAATACGATTAATTTCTCGAACAGTGAAGTTGTGGTTATTGATAATGTAGCTACAAACCTTGTTTTCAGGTTACAGTTGATGATATGAGTGTAACCTAGATTTAAAACAGATAAGTTCAGATTTTTCTAATAGCTCTTGCTATCATTTTAACTGTTGTGGCGAATTCTGACTCCCTGACAGAATCCAACACTTTAAACACAACTTAAATTCTCAAGTCTGGAGCAACATAACCAAATTCACCTCTGACGAGGTGATTTTGCAGTATTTCTTTTTTTCTCATCGTTATTGGGAAACGTGACCTTCATTGCTCTTTTAATGAGATTTTGGAGATGTCAAATTGAACAAATGTACCCTAATTTCTCTAATTATCTCAGTGATATCTAGCTGGGAAATATCTAGAGAAATATCTGCTTTATGAACATTAGTTATAAACAAGTTATAAACGTGTGTACACTGTACTGCATAAACAGACGCTGGCTATTGTGATTAAAAATGGAAGTCATTTCAAAGTTTGATTTTGGTTGAAGTGTCAGCAGATTTGACATAGTTACTGACCAAAATTTACTGAAATGATCATGCACTGATAGATTATCAGCATCATTATTTTACTTTAAATACACTCTAGCTGGAATATACACCTATAAGGCATAACATTATGTCCTTGTTTCTACGCTCATTGTCCATTTTATCAGCTCCACTTACTATATAGGTGCACTTTGTAGTTCTACAGTTACAGACTGTAGTCCATCTGTTTCTCTGACTACTTTGTTAGCCCCCTTTTACCCTGTTCTTCAGTGGTCAGGAACCCCATGGACCCTCATAGAGCAGGTAGTATTTGGCTACTGGATCATTCTCAGCACTGCAGTAACACTGAAGTGGTGGTGGTGTGTTAGTGTGTGTTGTGCTGGTACGAGTGGATCACAGCAGACACAGACACAGCAGTGGTGCTGGAGTTTTTAAACACCTCAGTGTCGCTGCTGGACTGAGAATAGTCCACCAACCAAAAACATCCAGTCAACAGCGTCCTGTGGGCAGCGTCCTGTGACCACTGATGAAGGACTAGAGGATGACCAACACAAACTGTGCAGCAGCAGATGAGCTATCGTCTCTGGCTTTACATCTACAGGGTGGACCAACAACGCAGGTGCATCTAATAGAGCGGACAGTGCTTAAAAACTCCAGCACCACTGCTGTGTCTGATCCACTCGTACCAGCACAACACACACTAACACACCACCACCACGTCAGTGTTACTGATCCACCACCCAAATAGTACCTGCTCTGGGTCCTGACCACTGAAGAACAGGGTAAAAGGGGGCTAACAAAGTATCAGAGAAACAGATGGACTACAGTCTGTAACTGTAGAACTACAAAGTGCACCTATATAGTAAGTGGAGCTGATAAAATGGACAATGAGCGAAGAAACAAGGAGGTGGTCATAATGTTATGCCTGATGTACACGGGGAAACCACTTTTCTCAGGCTCTCATTCGAGGCTGAAGTCAGTTTGTCATTCGGGAGCTTCTTGTTCGAAATCACCCGTTCCACCTTAAATAGTGCAGCCGTTACATTCGGAAACCTCAGGTACCATTTAAGATGGAACGGAAAATTCGAAGCTGGCGAATGCGAAGCGACTTCAGCTTCATAAAAAGTCTAACATTAAGAGACATTTTACAAGAAACTTCTACTTTTAAGGAAAAACGTCCTGCGATGTGAGAAAAGAGGCTGTAGCTGAGCTAAAGGTTAAAGCAGAGCAAAGTAAATCTGGATTTTTGATTGTATTATATTTTTGTAGCCTATACCAGGACATTAGCACATACTGGGATATTATTATACATATTTACAGCCAGGATGGTAAAACATTACTTTAATAAAATGGAGATAAAACGTTGTGGCTCCCAAGGAGGTTAGACGACCCTGTATGAGCCTCATTTAGGAACCGTCTGAAAAGTCCACACAATGGAAAAACTTTGTTTTTTCTATTTATCAGAACAATTTTGATAAAGCTTCAGCTAAAAGAAGGCTCGCATACGTAAATCACTTAATAACTGATTTAAGTCTTTTACAAGTTTCAGTTCTATCCTTCATATTCGACACAATCCCCACACTGCGAAACTGAAAGTCGTGGCCTGCCATTGCCTTCACTGTCACTCACAGCCACACTGAAAATTTGTGAAGCAATTTTTGTCCACAAGTTTGACTTGGTTTGTTTTGTTTTAAGGCACAAATTCTTATATTAAAGAAATAATGTTTAATTTAGACACATACCGTGTCGCCTCTGACACTCCACTTCCTTGGGTTTGGCCAAGTTGCATTGGAGCCCCTCCCTAGTCAGCTATCGGAGGGTCGAGGGTTCATGCGGGTGAAGCTGTGTAGAGCCCAGCTTTTTTCTCGTTTTTTTCTTTCTTTCCTCAGGCTTTTTCTTTCCTTCTGAGTTTGTTACTTAACCCACTTGTCATAACTGCTCCCATCAGAGGTTACATAGTAGTTACTAAAGTATAGAACTCACATTATTAAGGCTTTCTAACATCACAGACGAGTGTTTTTAGCTGTGAAGCTGTTTTTATTACAGTCATTGCATCTAGTCTTTTGTCTCAGTGCATTTAAGTATTCTCTGATTTTCAGTGTGTTGATGGATGACTAACTGTCTCCACATCGCCTCATTTAGATAACAATACATCATAAATGAGTTCATATTTTTTAATGACATGGTAAAATGTCTCACATGTGATCTGTGTTCTATTGTGAATAAAATATGGATCTATCAGATTTGCAAATCATTGCAGTCTGTTTTTATTTACATTTATTTACATTTTACACAGCGTCCCAACTTTGTTGCCATTGGGGTTGTACTTCAGTTAAACAAGAGCTTCTGGATGATTGCATAAGTTTTCCTAAAGACTCTGATGTGTTTAAAACAGATAACAAATATGAATGACACTACATTTTATTCATAAGAAGGTGGAAGTTACATGTGTCTTTGAGAAAAATGTTTATTGTTTTATATGAATTATTTTTTACTTTGAATAATGATGTTACAATTATGTTTCCTCGCTAAAAGAGCAAGCTCATATTTTCAGCATGAGATCATGCTGATAAACAACAGAAAGTATTTTTGCCTGTTTTTGACCATTTTTTAAGGGTGGAAAAAAACAGTTCTTGTTTCGACATATATGAACCATACAGCATGAATTTACATGGACGTAAATAAATGTAAGGACGATGATGATGATGATATAAAGTGTTCCAGTATTTACACGTAGAAATGTGTTTAAAGAGGAACACTGTGAATGATACTGAATGCAGTGCGTTTACTTTGATGAACGTAAAATAATGTAATTTTTTAAAATGACGTCACAAATATACCGATGGGCAAAAGACAGTTTATTTCACATTCATCCAATAAACATTGGTCCAATAAACATTTTACAAATCAAAATTTTCACTTTGGTACCCAACACCAACTTTGTTATCGAGCTCCATGTCCACACCAAATTGATCACTCAGGCTTTTATTTTTTATTAACAAATATTTAGTAAAAGAACTGCATAAAATCTCGCTGTTTTAAAAAACGTAAACAGAACAGCCTGTTGTTTTGCCTCTTTAGAGTTGCTGGTGCTGTGAGGTCTGTAGGTTTTATTACTTGCTTTAATGTAATGCTTTAAATCATGTCTACAGCTCTGATTTGTGGCAAGTGGCTGGCAGCAGATGACATTTAACAAGGTTTATCACAAGTTTCCATACATGTTAAGGATGCCTTTTCTGGATCTGGACTCATCATATCATACCGTAAGACATATTTTGTATAAAATTGTAAAAGAAAATTCTGTTTTTCCAATAGACTACATTCATCAAAAAACAGCAATTGTGTATTAAAGTGTACAGAAGTGAGTTCTTTGTAGAGGACATGTTAATTTATTTTCACTTAAAAAAAAATTGACCAGGGGTGCCCAAATTTTTGCATACGACTGTATATAAAAGTTTGACATGTATAACACAAACAAACAGAGTTATAAAGGATGAGACAAAGTGTTAGCCTGGAAAGATAGCATCCTCCCGCTCTCCAATGCCGCACAGCTTCCTCTGTTTACTTTCGTCAGGGCTGTAAGTTGAACCCACTTCTTCCTTTCACTTTCGTTGCTTGGGAATGCACTACTACTAAAATTTGACTGAGCGCTGTAACAGTGCTGTAGTTGTGAGGAGCAGATGTAATTTAACGCTGCTAAAGCCGGTTAGGATGTATGGAAAGAGGTGAGTTCACTGTAGGACAGTACATATATGCCACTTATGTCGTCACTCACGCTCGGTCACAGGAGAACAGATCGCCGGTCGCTCCACTCAAACAGGGAATGTATAACTCCACATTTCAGACGTTGCTAAAGACTCATTTTACTCGTGGCCCCCTCCCTCTCTAATCATGTAGAAAAACTCAGAAGTGCGCCCTCTCCTGGTGACAGAAGAGCAGTGTCGCTTTCCTTGCAGTAGAAAATGCCACCAGGGCTGTTGCTAAACGTGTAAGTGTGAGAATGCTCCATTATATCGAACATTTCTTATCGCTCTATCGAGGAAAGTTATATTGCGATAATTATCGTTATCGTTTTATTGCCCATCCCTAGACACAGCACCTCCACACTTCCCCACGGGTTCACCCCAACACCACGTGTATTATAAATGTTTAGTGGGTGAACTGAAAAAAAAGGCACTGGAAAAGTGTTATTTTATATGTTCTTCACAGAAAATGAAGAAAGACCAAGAAATCTGACTTTGAAATAATAATAAATCACTTCATTTTTTCTTTTTTGGTGAACTGAAAATGGGTCCCACAGACCTGAACAACACACAGATTAAAAAATGTCTCTATAGTGTTGCTGGTGCTGTGAGGTCTGTAGGTTTTATCCTTTTCCTTCATATACAAAGTAATGCCTTTTTTCACATCTACAGCTCTGATTTGTGAAGTTGCTGGCAGCAGATATTTAACAAGGTTTAGCACTAGTTTTCATGCGTGTTTAGTTTGCTGGCTTCAATTAAGACAAATTTTGTGTAAAAGTGTAAAACAATGAAAAAAGTTTTTAAAGAATTCTCTTCATGAAAAATCTCTTTAAATAATCTTACACATTTACGGTGTAATGCTCATAGTTTTGTTTTGTTTTTTTTTGCATTATTAAGTAAAAACTAAAGGAAGTCAGCATGAGAGTACTCGCTTAAATGTTCAGACATGGCTTAAAGTTATACCAACCTTGACACTTAAAATTACAAAAAAAAAGTGTTTTGTTGATTTTCTGAGTGACAAACATGTTAACATGTTCTCTGCAAATAATCTTAAATGATAATAATAAGGCGTTTTCTGCAAATTTCAATTTCTATTTGCTGAATTTATCAGACTGGAAAAAATAAACCATAAAATAACCTTTACATAGGCTACATTTTATCTGTTTTTATCCCAATATGTTAAATTCAGTAAATAAACAGTAATTCTGTATTGCAGTGTGCAGAAGTGCGTTCACTGTAGAGAATATGAACTGACTTTCACTTAGAAAATCAACAAAAACATGTAGTTTGAACAGGGGTGCTCAAACTTTTGCATATGACTGTTTTTAAAAGTTTGAAAGGTATAGCATATAACCCTCCCCAATCTCCTCCGCATGGTCTGGTCCAGAACAGCATTGGATGCCTATTATAAACCGGTCCTACTGTGGCACACTGTTGTTCTAGCTGGGCACCCGGAACACCAACTTCTTCCTCAAGGTCACTTTCTGGACTGGCATCTGTTTGGCTGTGACCATCCTACATTTGATCATCACTTTACCAGCTGTCAAACTGACTTCCTGATTCACACAGAGCAGGATAGACTGGACGTCCTCACACCTTGGAAGTAAATAATAAAAAGCAGACATTGGTGAAGAAATATTTATATTATAACCATATCAGCAGACCGGTGCTACTTTTGTTTAGTACTTACTTTGGACAGTACGTTTTCAGCTGCTTACACAAAGACTGGATGAACCAGGAGCCTGAAAGTATGTTCCTGAATGAGTAGAAGCCTTTAACGGTTGACCTCGCCACAAAGAAATCTGCATCATCTGGGATGGTGAACATCTCAACAACATCCGTTTCCAACACTGCTTCTTCTGCTGCTTCATCTCCTTCAAGGTTATCAGCCTGGACTTCAACTGGGAGCTGATAGTCATCCCCACGGCAGGCCTGGATGAAGAACACTTTTGGTTTACCGGCCAGGCTTCGGCAGGAGGTTCCTCTGAATGGAGGGAACATGTCCTCACTGCAGACGACACGTCCATCAGTGCCGTGCACCCCTTCAGTACAACCATGGCTCAGGATGCAGCAAACGAAACAGTCACCTTTATGGTCCTTCTGACTGAACTGCTTCAGGATGTCTTTCATCTGCTCTGCAGTTTTGTCTCTGTGCACCTCTACAGTGAACCCCAGCCAGCAGAACACCTCTTTAAGAGACTCTGTAGGACAGAATAGAAGAGGCTGTTTTTCCACGCATCTAGACAATTTATGACACTTTACATAGAACACTATATACACTTTAAACATGCTGTAAACTACTTGCCCAGTTATGCTATGTGTCATATAACCAGTAATACAGAAGATGATTATTAATTATTTTCTTGACAATATCAGTAAATACAGACTACTGATGTGACTATTTTATTACCCTCCTTGTATTTTCCAATATTGTGTCATTCCTCAGACAACGATACAGTCGCATGCAAACGTTTGAACACCCAATTTTCTAACTAAAAATAACCAAACACGTCCTCAACAGAGATTACATTTAAATTTTTTTTTTTAATTTTAGTCCACATTTTCTATTTATTTGCTGAGTTTAACATACTGGAAGAAAACACATAAATATTACATAAAAGTTGCCATAACTTTTGCACAGGCCACATTTTCTGTTTTATTTTTTCGAAAATATATTCACTTCCACACATAAATGGTAACTGTGCATTAAAATGTGCATAACAGATTTCTCTTTAGAGGATGTGTTTAACTTATTTTCACGTAGAAAATCAACAAAACATGTAATTTGACCAGGGGCGCCCAAACGTTTGCAGATGTCTGTAGAATCTGCACTTCAACTGTTAGTGTCATTGATGCGAATCACCAAATCTATCTGGCTATTTAGTATATCGCCCTTTGTGGAGAATTTTCAGCTTCGAAGTGAGTGACAGGCCAGATGCTTCACAGCTAAAAATGTAATTAAAGTGGTAACTCCACCCATTTTTTTAAATTTCTGCATAATTGAATCATTACGGTCTAAACAAAGTCAATCAGTGTGGTCTGGCGTAAAGTGTACAATTTTAGAGAAACTTTCTGAGTCTAAATTACTCACAGTGGTGGTGATAGGAACCAGGCATTTAATGCCTTTAAGAGCTCCTTCAAAAAAAGTTATTCCATGAAATGTTTAAGAATGTATTCCCAGATGTGTGAGACATTATTTTATGATTGATTTTAAATAAAGTTTTGGTATAAAATGTATTCTTTTTTTAAACAGAGAGGTGGTACATGTAGGGCGTTGTAAGTCAAAATAAAAGAAAGAAAGAAAGAAAGAAAGAAAGAAAGAAAGAAAAAAGAAAGAAAAGCTTATTTTTCAGATTCACTGCTGTTTTACTATTATCAACATTACATACAAAAACTCAAAAGACACATTTAGGTTCACTGGTGGTTTTGGATAGTGAATAAAATGTCATTTGAGTTAAATTCATTGTGACCTCTGGTTCCTATCACCACCACTGTAAAAACACTTAAGTTGGTGAGTTTCTCTACAAATAAACCATTTCACATCACACCTCTCTGAATGATTTTGCTTACATCTCAACTAACTCCCAACATAATTATGTAGATTTTTTACAATTTGTGGAATTCTCTTTTAAATCATCAAGTGCAATATAAGATGATTTATACAAATTGTTTTTTTTTTTAAATGACTAGAGAAAAGTGTGAAACGGTGCAGTTAATCTCATTACATCCACTGGAAGAAACTTGTCATACACACGTCATATATAACTACAGTAATAAAGTATCTTTCAGAAATATTCACTAGCTACGTGAATCCAGATGTGGTCCTGATTGAAAAAGACAAATGAAACAACAAACCTTCATCTACATCAGATCCCTTCCTGTCTTTAAAGGGGGGATCAAATTTAATATTGTTGATGATCAGACACAGACCACGTGGAACGCTGGACATCTTGTATTCACCTATCTGCAAATAGAGACATTTCTGTGATGAAGCATTGCCTTTAATGAAATGACTGGAAATGTACACATCAGCAGAGAAAACAGTACTCTAGAAGATTTTGAATTACCTCATCCTCTGGATCTCGATTATCTGCAAAAAACATACGTATGAAGTCACCAACTTTCACTAAAATTGACCTTGAAATATAGAAAAATATAGCATTGTGGGTTTGCAGAGTGACCTCACAGAGTGGTTTACCTTCGTTTAGTGCTGGTTGTGGAGGTCTGAAATGCCCCTTAAGCCCAGGGAAATTGTCCTGCAGCTGTTCATGCTGTAGTAGTTGTAGGAATCTGAGACATGTTTCATCCCCCTTGTTCATCACCTTGTCCAGAAGATTAATGATGATGTTCTCCTGGGTGTGGTTAGGGTGGTTAAGGTTGTTGTACTCCCGCTTGGTGATGATTTTATTCTGCTCGGCATGCTGCAAGACAAAGCTGGCATCTGCAGACAGAGTGTCGATGAAGAAGACCTTCTTGTCACGCAGAGTCTGCATGACTGTCAGCCCTAAGGAAGAATGACATAACACTATGAGTGGCATTACTGTCCTAAAGATACAACTTAGGTCTAGCTGTTTGCATAATTTACATTTAATTTACATAATTTTATGTTTTGTATGTGTTGCATATCGCTGCTGTCGGAACAAAACCTCCATTTTTTGCTGTCGGAACAAAATCTCCATTTTTTTGTCGTTTTTGAGTTTTTGACATAATTTGAAAATGCATGTTGCCCTTTATGTTGTATCGGAATTTAATGATGAATGGACCAAAAGAAACGGCCCAAAACGACTTGGAAAAAAGTCTGGTTCCATTGACTTACATCGAAAGTAAAGCAGTTTTTTTCCTTCTCCTGTAAAGTTACCATTTTGGAGATACAAGGTTTTCTTCCGACAACAGCAATGTTTAAATATTTCATCACAGAAGAGCGGACACAAAGTTATGGCTGCTTTTGTTAGCTGACTATGCTTATAAATAATGAATTACAAGTAATACAAGCTTAATATACACATGCCTGCCTGGTATATTTGTCTGTTATGATACGTTCTGTAGGGCAGCACTGCATCCCTAAGCCTCATCAGTTTGTCAGAATTAACTGTCCTCTCACTACAGTACCCAGCATGCATTGCAAAATACAACCATTAGGAATCCTCCTAAACTGTGATAAAGAAATCCACTGATGTAGTGACGATCAAATAAAGCTTCCTAGCAGTACTGACAGCTGTCTAGCTCCTTCTCCCTTCACCAGCCAGCAAAAAAAGCATTTCTAAAAGCTCACTCATATATCTGCCCCAAAGTGCTTGTAGTTTTACAAAACCCTCCCCTTAACCCTCCTGTTGTGTTCCGGTCAAATCTGACCGATTTACAAGTTTCCTCCTAAAAAAGTGTAGTAAATTTCATCTGTTTGTCATGAGGTTCCATGACTTCGTTCACACATGTTATTTGAACACCTAAAATAAATCTGAAATATGACCGGTTATTGGAAATACATCTATAAGACTACAATTAGTGTATAAAACAGAGTTCAAGCACGTATCAAGCACATCCACAGCAACCAGAGAAGGAGGAGTCAAAAGGCGCCAACTGTGTACACCAGATAAAAAACTAGCTTTGTGTGCCACATATGCAGTGTGTGTGTATATATATATATATATATATATATATATATATATATATATATATGCAAAGAACATGCAACGACCACAGTATATTGCCCCACATGCTCATGAGAGGACAAAACCGAGGAACATAAGGATAACATTATGGCACTGTCTTTTCAGAGTACAACAGAAAATTGTAAATATGTTCATACAGTGTATGGTTCAAGCATTTCTCTTCAATTTTCCCTGTGTACATTTGGGCTTTTGTTTTCAGTAAATAAATCATACCGGTCAGTTTTGACCGGGAACACGGAAGTTGTTATTTTGTGCCACAGTTTAGAAAACTTAACTGGTTTCAAAAAAGTGACTTTGGTGAACATTTCAGTGAAGTACTCTGTGACAAACACTGCAACAGGTTTCATCTTAGTATTCGTTATAGTCAAAATAATATGTATATAATGTTTTTTCCCTAAAAAAAAACGAGCGGTGTGAGCTCACGTAGGTTAAATGAGGCCTGCAGGACATAAACAGCAAATACAAGTTCCAAACTTATAATGTTCACAAGAGCTGAAGTTCATAAAAAGATCCAACACAACATTAGGTGATAATATATGTATTATTGTTGATTTATAATGGAATAAAATGATCCCGGCCAAAATGACCGGGAACACTATGAGTGTTAGCCGAAACGAACACAACAGGAGGGTTAAATCCAAAGTCTTCTTAATTTTTATACAGGAAAATACGCCCAAAACAGCGCACTACTAAACTGTAGTTAGCTACATAGGTTAAGCTACTATACTAATGAATTGACATCTAATGGCGGCGTACTGACTGAGGTTTGACATACTAGTACACGTAGTTAGGATGGTACTATGTGGTTTTGTACGCACCATCATTCTTGTGACCAAATGTGGGGCCCCGTAGGAGGCCAGTAGGTTTGTTAACAACAGATGTAACCTAGAAAGGGTTATATTTTTTTAATTTTGGGCGGAGTGCCCCTTTAACTCGGGACAGAGCGCAGGCGCTAGCACTGTTAGCATACTGCATTGAAGTAAACGGAAACTTAGCTAACTAGCTAAAACTTATCTTACTGTAAAAACCTCTACCCGTCAAAGCCGTCAAACAGGCGACTTTACGTACGTCTGACGACCACGTATATAAAAAATACGAGTCGACACATATGTTCTGCAACAAACAAGCCGAATTCACGAACCTTTTAATCCACTTTTTTATTATTTTTCACCATTCCTGTCAGTGGAGACAAAAAGGGCGCGAAAGACCCGCTGATGTCACCAGGCGAAGCAGCTTTATCTACCAGAGCGAAGTAACAGACAGTAGGAGCAGATATGAGAGGTGGTCGGTGAGCTGGTTTTAACTCATCATATCTGGTCATATCTTAAGAATAAAGAAAAGCCACTCTACAGTAACGACCTAAACATAACCTAAACAATCACAGTATGTATATTGTCAAACCTTAAGGAGACAAAAGTTCGTCAAATTCCTTCGTTTTCACTTCAGCTCGGAGCGAAGCCGCCCTTTATGATTCCCAGTAAATGAGCTTCCTCGCTGCATACGACATCTTATCGCTGCACGTAGTGGAGGCTGAACCAGAGCTGGTTTGACTGTACTCGGTCAGAGAGTTGCCAGATACTCGGGGTTGCCAGGTTTTTCAATGTCAGCTGAACATGTAGGCATTTTATATAGATTCAGCCAATAATAATAACGATAATAATAATAATAATAATAATAACAATAACTAATACATTTATTATTTGAAGGGAATGGCTAAATTGCCTTCGGGATCAATAAAGTATCTATCTATCTATCTATCTATCTATCTATCTATCTATCTAATAATAATGATAATAATAATAGTGTAAACGAAACTTTTAAAGATACTAGTAATTCTGATTCTCCATCACTGCTTAATTTGCATAGAAATACATTAAAACTATGCTTTAATATTCAGTAACTGCTACAAACGGGTGGAAAAAGTGCATAAAAACTATACTTTAGAGAAAGTATAGGTACTGTAGCAAAATTTGACATTTGATCAAATGCGGAAATATGTAAACAAAAACATACTTAAGTGAAAGTAGAAAAGGTTTAAAAAAACCTTGGTAAGCATGTTTTAATAAATAAATGAGTTTGGTGGCATCTGATGTAGTGACGTGGCCAGTGCTTAAACGTAGATAAACTAGCATATTTTGTAGGCAGTTTTATTTTATATTGATATGAATGTGTGAGATGTAAAAAAAAACAGTAAATTAAGATGTACAACGACACCACTGTTTGGGACGAGAAAAAAGCCAGGATCTCATGGCTTTAATAATTTATACTTTGTCCATTCAGGAGACTTGCTTTCAGTTTTCAAAGAAATCTGCAGGGATGTTTTTTCCACACCTCCAAAGTTCAGTCTTAGAAGTTGGTTGCTTATTATTTAATTGCTTGGTTGCTAAATTATTTAAAAATATAAATGAAAAATATAAATAATGTCAAACACAAAAATAAAAAATGGCCCGAAATGGCCATGTCCATCATATTCTGTCTCTTACTGAAAAAGAAACCAGTAGGGGTATTTAAAATATACATTTTTCAGCCAAATTTTTTATTTTTTTTTAAATCAAGTAATCTATTTAAGTATTTCTGACAGCCTTAGTGCCACAAGTTTGTGGAGGTCTTGTTTTTCTTTTCAAATCTGATTCAGAAAGAATTGTGTGTGGACACAGCTTTGAAAGAAATCTGATCTGTGTCACATTAAGGTAAAATTTAAATTTACACCACTTCAAAACGTAAATGTAGCTTTAGCAGTTGTCATGAGCCGTTCTCTGTTTTTCCTATAGCTCTTTCCCATGGTTGCAGTGTAAAGCAGGGAATTGAGAGCAGCTCGGTCAGCCACAGTGGCCTCAGAGTGCTGCTGAATGACCTCAGCCTGGTCAGATCAACTCACAGCGTGGGTTTGTGTGTAGAACTGACATGTACGTATTTGGTTAAGTGTACTGGTGAAAACTTATCTCACGGCATTGCAGTTTTTCACAATAGTTTACACACTAAAACTGGAACTTAAGGCAGTTACTAACATGTACCAGTTACCTAAACCAATATATTTTAATATTCTGTGCATTATTGATTGTGATTGATTCATCCCACAATCAGAAACACCCACCTAACAAAGGCCTGTGGCCGGAAACAGACCACTGATGAAGGACTAGAAGATGACCAACCTACCTAGCTCCCACCTAACACAAGATGGACTAACAGGAGTGTGGACAGTGGCGGAGCGCCCCTGAGTGGAGTGGACAGTAAGTGGACACAGTGTTTAAAAGCTCTAGCAATGCAGTCCTGTCTGAGCCACCTTTGCACACACTAACATGCATTTAAATTCCTTTCCTTAATTATCAGTGATGAGTTGACTGATGCCAATGATACATTTGTTATGTGTTCATGGAGCATTTCTAATATTTCTCCATGTAAATGTTGAAATTCTTTTATTCATTCACCTTCTTAGCCGGTCCTAAGTGCCAGACCATCGCAGGGCAGACAGACATACACATTCACATTCACACACACACTCCCACTTAGGGGCAATTTAGTGTCTCCAGATGGCCTGACTGCATGTCTTTGGACTGTGGGAGGAAACCACACAGACACGGGGAGAACACGCACACAGAAAAGAACTCCACACAGAAAAGACCCTGGACACCCAGCCGGGGAATCAAAGCCTGACCTAATGCGCCACAGTGCTGCCCTACAACCAGCACTGCTCCCAGTAGAACCCTCCTCCACCCCACATTAAACCTCACACTCCTACAAAAACATAAACTGTGTAATTCATCACCATTTTCTGCATGCAATATAATCAATATTCCATGTGGAATACTTATAAAATGTCTCTATAGTGTAAAGATTTTTTGCTTTTCTATTTATAGTGTTTATATTGTTAACTCCTCACCATCCCCACATGTAATATAAATCAGTACCTCATGTGCAATACTCTATGTGAAATTCAGGTAAAATATCCTTACAGTGTAAATTTCTGCTTTTATTCATTTATAATTCTTTATATTGTTAATTTTTCTGAAGGATAGAGTTCATATTTTATCTTATTTTTATAAGATATAAAAATAAGTAACAAATTGTAAAACAAGTTAAGGTTAATTTACTTGCTTGTTAATTCTCTTCTTGTTACTCTTTTGAGTGCCTTGCTCTCCCTTTGCTGCTGTAGCATGGAGAATTTCCCCGTTGTGGGACAAATAAAGGATTATCTTATCTTATCTTACTTGTTGAAATGTTTAGCTTAAATACATGAGAACATTGTATGCAGTGTTAATGTTGATGCACAGTCCTGTGCAAGACTTAAGCAAATAGTTTAAAACCCTTTACCATTACAATAATTACAAATCAACATTAATGCAGTAAAAACTAGCGAGACACTTTTGCTTTTTAAAAAAATATATATATCTTGTGAGCTTTCCTACTCGAGTTCTCCTCCATGTTCCCAGCCAGCACACAGATTTGTTAAAATCCATTACCACCCTTAATTTAATGAAGGATTGAGCCAAACCAGGTATTGGATGATAACTACGAATAATGCTGTGCTGCCAAGAGGAGAAGTTAGTAAATGGTTAGGTAAACACACTGACATCCATACAATCACTCCTTATTATATTAATATTGTTTACATTTATGCTAATATTAGTTTTTTTGAGCAAATAATTACTTACTGCCCCAGTATATAGCTTTAAAATATAATTTTCTCAGGTGCATAGAAGTTTTGCACAGTACTGTATATAAAATAATCTAATGTTTAAAAATGATTTCATAAAGATACAGAGGCAATCAGTCAGTTTATTTCGGGTGTATTTGGTCCAATGGAGAAAAAATATGTTAGAAATTAAAGACAAATTTTTTAATATTAAAAATTGTGATTTTTAATTACTTCTTTGCATGAAAATGGTTCCCCCATATTTTCACATATTTACTGCTCATAAGTCAATTCACAGTACATCGTTTTATTATGTAAAACCAAAACCAGTTAACTCCAGGGATTATTTGTAGAAAAACATCTAAATACTAATTCTGAAGAACAGATATAGTATAAAGCCGCACCAAACTAGACGCTAATGACTCATTTTAGCTTCCCTGTTTACCCCTTTTTCAAAACAGAAATAAAGAAAACGGACTGGCATAACAGAAAAAAGTAGACCTGTCCAGAACAGAATTATAAACAGAGCCCATTATGGACAGGTTGTGGTATTATGGCACTGTTGTTCTAGCTAGGGAACACGGAACACCAGCTTCTTCCTCAAGGTCACTTTTTGGACTGGCATCTGTTTGCCGTCCACTTCTTCTTGCGGTCCAAAAGAAACATTTTTACTGACTTCTTCATTCACACAGAGCAGGATAGACTGGATGTCTTCACCCCTTGAAAAAAAGAAAAAAACACACATTGATGAAAAAAATATTTCGTATTATATCAGTAGGCCAGTGCCACTGTTGTTTAATACTTACTTTGGACAGTACGTTTCCAGCTGCTTACACAAAGACTGAATGAACCACGAGCCTGAAAGTATGTCCCTGAATGAGACGAAGCCTTTAACGGTTGACCTCGCCACAAAGAAATCTGCATCATCTGGGATGGTGAACATCTCAACAACATCCGTTTCCAACACTGCTTCCTCTGCTGCTTCATCTCCTTCAAGGTTATCAGCCTGGACTTTAACTGGGCGCTGATAGTCTTTCCCACGACAGGCCTGGATGAAGAACACTTTTGGTTTGCCAGCCAGGCTTTGGCAGGAGGTTCCACTGAATGGAGTGAATATGTCCTCACTGGGGACGACACCTCCATCAGTGCCGTGCACCCCTTTACCACCACCATGGCTCAGGATGCAGCAAACGAAACAGTCACCTTCATGGTTCTTCTGACTGAGCTGCTTCAGGAGGTCTTTCATCTGCTGTGCAGTTTGGTCTCTGTGCACCTCCACAGTGAACCCCAGCCAGCGGAACACCTTTTCAAGAGACTCTGTAGGACAGAATAGAAAAGGCTGTTTTTCTCATCGTTTAATCTGAGAGGTATGTCACTTTGAATCATGTTCAAAGGTAATTCATGACACTTTTGCTGTAAAATAACTTTCCTAGGCTACTATACTATGCAAGAGAGATACAGTGACACAAAAGATCAGTATGAAGTTTTCTATTAACAATGTCGATTTAGAAGGATTATAAACTGATGTGACTGTTATTATTTTATTACCTCACTTGTGTTCTGTTGTTTAATAAAGTCATACTCTACATAAAAACTCGTTCATCGATATTTGCAAGCTAGTAATATAGCTGTGGTTACCAGATAATGTGGTTACCAGAAAAGATACAAAATTACTAACCTTCATCATCTTCAGATCCTATCCTGTTGCATGATTGTTGTTTAAAAACTATATTGTTGATGATCACACAGAGACCACGTGGAACGCTGGACATCTTGTATTCACTGATCTATGAACAACAATGGAGAATTTTCTGTATTGAAACATTGTTCTTACAGTTCTTTAAAAATGAATAATTACTTTTAGGAATGTACAGTGCTGTGAAAAAGTATTTGCCCCCTACCTAATTTCTTCATTTTTTTTGCATATTTTTCACACTTGAATGTTTCAGATCATCAAACCAAGCTTTTAAAATTAGACAAAGATAACACAAGCAGGCTAGAAACTCTCAAAAAACTGCCAAATTCTAAAGGGATCTTGATGCAGATGCGAAGCAAAGTAAATAAAAATCTACGAGTCTAGAACGGGCTACAAAGCCATTGCTAAAGGTCTGAGACTCCAACAAACCACAGCGAGAGCTTTCATCCACAAATGGAGAGAACTTGGAACAGGGGTTGAACCTTCCAAGGAGTGCAATGACAACTTATCTGGGAGGTCACAGAAGAAACCAGACAAACAACTAAAGAACTTCAGGCCTCATTTGCCACAGTTAAGGTCAATGTACACGATTCTACAGTAAGAGACACTGGACAAAAATGGCATCCATGGGAGAGCTGCAAGGCGCAAACCACAGATGACCAAAAAGAACATGAAGCCTTGTCTTGCATTTACCAAAAAGCATCTAGATGACCCCCAAGACTTTTGGCATAATATTCTGTGGACTGATGAGTCAAAGGTGGAACTTTTTGGAAGACATGGGTCCAGTTACATGTGGTGTAAAACTAACACTGCATTCCACCATGAGAACATCACACCAGCAGTCAAACAGGTAGTGTGATGATCTGGGGCTGCTTTGCTTCTGCAGGGCTTGGCAGACTTGTCATAACTGATGACTTGTCATAACTGATGACTTGTCATAACCATGAATTCTGCTCTCTATCAGAAAATCCTGAAAGAGAATGTCTGCCCGTCAGTTTGTGGCCTAAAGCTGAAGCGCAGTTGGGTTATGCAGCAGGACAATGATCTGAAGCACACAAGCAAGTCCACCTTGCCAAAATAAGGTTTTGGAGTGGCTGAGTCAAAGTCCTGACTGAATCCCACTGAGATGCTGTGGCAAGACCTTAAACGGGCAGGTTATGCTAAAAAAACCCTCTGATGTAGCCAAATAAAAACAATTCTGAAAAGAAGAATGAGCCAAAATTTCTCCACAGCGATGTAAAAGACGCACAGAAAGTTATCGCAAAAGTTTGATTGCAGTTGTTCCTGCCAAAGGTGACACAACCTGTTATTAGGTTTAGAGAGCAATCACTTATTCACATGGGTAATATAGGTATTGAATAAATCTTTATCTTCAATAAACGGAAAGATCACTTAAAAGCTGCTTTTTCTTTTTATTTGTGTTGTCTTCATCTTATATTAAAATTAGTTGGATCATCTGAAACATTTAAATGAGACAAATTATATAAAGCAATAATAGAAGAAATCAAGTGAGGGGCAAATACTTTTTCAGAACCCTGTACACATTTCTGTTGACACCCTGAACTGATGCACTTCTCTTGCATAGTAAATGTAACAGCAAAGAAAACAATATTATGAAATTCACTGTATTTTAAAATTACCTCATCGGGTGGCTTGACTGGACTATCTAAGGGTCAGATTGAAAGAAAAAAATGTGTTAGTTTCATTACAGCCAAATTCACAGATAAAAACATGGCATCATGGCTACCGAATGAGTGACCTCACAGTGTGGTTTTACCTTCGTTTAGTGCTGGTTGTGGAGGTCTGAAATGCCCCTTAAGCCCAGGGAAATTGTCCTGCAGCTGTTCATGCTGTAGTAGTTGTAGGAATCTGAGACATGTTTCATTCCCCTTGTTCATCACCTTGTCCAGAAGATTAATGATGATGTTCTCCTGGGTGTGGTTAGGGTGGTTAAGGTTGTTGTACTCCCGCTTAGTGATGATTTCATTCTGCTCAGCATGCTGCAAGACAAAGCTGGCATCTGCAGACAGAGTGTCGATGAAGAAGAGCTTCTTGTCACGTAGAGTCTGCATGACTGTACAAGGACAAGATGTTATATTAATAATAATAATATTATTAATAATAATAGTTTTTACATAGTTATTAATTGAAAAAAAAATATATATATATATAGTTATTAGACTGAAGATTATTATAAGCTTCTTACAACAAATTCCTTCATTATTAGAAAGTACTACTATATTACTACCATAATATCTAATACTACCCAGTTAGCAAAATTTGTCTGGCTCACTTGTGGGCCACATCGTTGGTTTGTTCTGGCCCAGTATATGGCTCTCACACTGTAAAGTGAGAAGAACTAAGGATATGGCCCAAATCTGGCCCAACTACATTGTTGGTCCACAACATTCACACCATAATTGTCCCACAAATGGAGACACAAGGCAAAATGGTATGAAGCTGTCCAGGGTCTGGCCTGTTCTGGCCTGCATGCCTAACATCTACCCGGTAGTCAGCCAACACTCACATAGGAAAGCCAGAATCAGCCCAAAACTGTCTGCTACCTGGGTGATATATAAAACCAGGGTATTATAGATTACTACAAGACAGTGTAGAAATATTACACGGAAGTGAACTCATTATAAATTATTATGAAAGTATTATACAACACTGTAGAAACCTTATAGCCTCTAATAATAAAACTACAGTAATTATTTTCAGGGTATTCATTACGGAACAGTGAAGACCATTTGTGCAGGTGTGCAGAAAGAAGACTAGGTTACTATTCTTTCTGTTTTAACCCAGGTTAGATAACTGCTTATAAATAAGTAATAGTAGTAACACAAGCCTTTCATATGGACCTGCTGGTAGAAGCCCAGCCAGCAAACAGCCAGAAAAAAACACCAATCCGAGGTGAAGCTGAAGAGGAGACGCTAGCACGGTTAGCCAGCTACTGCTCTGAGGTAAGTTATTTATTATTATTTGCATGTAGGACAGACATCTTCATGACCACGGCGAAGTGATAACGATTAGGTGATAGGTAGGCTAACTCAAAGAAAAAGAAAGAGTTGGAGCATTAAACCACTCTCGGAAGTCTTGCTTTACTACTTCAAAACTGTTTTCACTTCATTTTTCACGACTGCTGTTAAAGTAAACGAGAGGAGCTCGAGTAAAATCAGCCAGACACACAGCAAAGGGCGAGAAGGGCATGTTAAGTTATTTTCACTTGTACATCAAGTGCCCTACACTACTATTTTTGTAGTAAATAAACACTAGTTTGTCTGTTTTACCAATCTTACCGAGCAGTAGAAATGTCTGTCCTAGTTTTCCTCCAAGTCAGAGCCTTTTATTTTCACTTCTGGCTCAGGTGGAAATGCCTTATGGTTTCTTGTAAGGTGTGTTGCTGCAGAGCAACATTTTAACCCAGTCACAGGGTTGCCAGATACTCAGGGTTAGCAGACTTGCAGTGTTAATTTTTAGTAGGGTTGATTAAATCAAGGTACTGGAAAAAAAGTCTAGAGTTTGTAAAGAATAAATGCAGCCTCCAAAAGCAACAACAACAAATACATAAAACATTCAATTTTAATGCTGTGTATGTGAGAACATGTGTTGTGTTTTCAACCCCAATTCCAAAAAAGTTGGGATGCTGTGTAAAATGTGAATAAATGTAAACAAAAACAGAATGCAATGATTCTGGGTCTCATAGACCCATATTTTATTCACAGTAGAACATAGAACACATATCAGATGTTGAAAGTGAGACATTTTTCCATTTCTTGAATGGCAGCAACATTACATTTAACTAAAGCGCTGCTTCTATGGTACCAGGTTACTTGCACTGAAAGGTCACACTTTCAAACTATGTCTGTGTCACCATTGTGTAAAACCTATGCATTAAACAATGTTTTAATATTCAACAGCTGACTACTATGGATCTGGAGGGAATAGGTGAGTTGTGAGTCTTCAGTGTGCTGACTGCTTTATAGTTCAGGATGTGCTGTGCCCTCTTTTTAAGGTGGTGTACACGGATGTTTCTTTGTGTTGTGGCTCTGCTTTTTTTTCATCATGTTCTGCTTCTGTCCTGAAGAGGGTCTGAATGAGGTCCGTCCTGTAGTTTATCGTGCTGCCCTGAAGCTTCGCTCTTTACAGAAGCTATGCCAGAGTGAGTTCATATCTGAGTATGTATACACAGCATAGTTTCCACAGCTTAGAGGTCATAATGTCTACAACAGAAATATAGCCAGATTATTTACCACCCAAAACCACCAGTGATTGTGTTCTGAAAATAAATAAATATATAATAAACATATAATCTGAAAAAAAAAACAAACAATATATACTTTTACTCTGATTATTGCCAGGATTTCACAATATTTTGCACATTTTTTCACAGTAAAATACTGTATTCATCATTTTATTGTGAAATAAACTCATCCTAAGATAAGTTCTGTAATAACACAGCAAATAACTATGAGGTTGAGGTTAAGCAGTAGAAATGTCCGTCCCCTAGTTTTCCTCCAAGTCAGAGCCTTTTATTTTCACTTTTGGCTCAGGTGGAAATGCCTTATGGTTTCTTGTAAGGTGTGTTGCAGCAGAGCAACCTTTTAACCCAGTCACAGGGTTGCCAGATACTCAGGGTTAGCAGACTTTGCAGTGTTAATTTTTAGTAGGGTTGATTAAATCAAGGGCACAGTGCACTGCACAGCGTTATTGGATATAACAACAGCAGAGTGTTAAAAAGTCATAAACATTTAAATAAAAAAAATAATTTGGTCTTTTAAAGACTTTTAAAGTTTTACACTGGATTGTCTTGCAATATTTAACATTGTTCACAAAAAAGTCATTGTTTATTGTTATTGCCAAGCAAAAAGAAACTGTCTGTAATACACTGTAAAAAGTGGCTCGTCAGATCTACCTAAAACAATTACTTCATGTGGAAACAAGCAGTTGAACTAGTTTTATTCAACTCAAAATTACATTGATTAAAAGAGTCATTCATTCAAAGTATTTATTTAGGTTGAATAAAACTAGTTAATTTACTTGTTACTACGTGAAGCAATTTTTTAAAGGTAGATCTGATGAGCCACTTTTTACAGTGAATGCAGTAAATTATTGTGAAACTAATGCAACTACAAGCCAGTAAGTTGCTGTAATCAGTAAGGCATCAGTCGGTGTATTCATAACCATTTCATAACTTTCTGCGATGAAGCTTTTAAAGACATTGAACTCTTCAGACGTCTGGTTCCCATCACCACCACTGTGAAAAGTTCTGACTCTGTTTCCCTAGAATGGAGCTTTTTACATCAAACCGCTCTGAATTACTTTATTTATATCTTAACAATTTGATTATAAACATTATAAATAAAATGTTGTGCATGTCTTTTTGTTAATGGCGCTCAGTAGAAAAGCCTTATATGCTTACTCACATACACACGTAAGTCATTATATTTTCACTGTACTTTTTTTGTCCAGTGCATTTAGTCTTTTTCCGGGACTTGCGGCCCCGTTCTCCGTGCTGTGGGGGGTTCGGGGGACCCCACAGTGAGTCTCTCCCAGCAGAACTTGAGGCAGAGTCTAGAGCAGCTCTTCCATGGCGTCTTACAGGAACTACCAGAGCAGGCGGTATCAGAGGCCACTGAACAGACCACCAGACTCCTCTTCAAACTCTACGACAGGTCAGAAGAGCTGTCTAACGACACTGACAACAATGCTTTGAATTGATATGACTCAAATGTTGTAGTGTGTAGCAGTAAACTGAAATTTAGCAGTTGTGTTGACGTAACACAAGTGCAACCACCACACTCGAAATCTTTTTTTCCGTTTGTTTTGTGTATTCACTCATGACTAGTTTGCTCGTGTGCACCTAATATAATGTATGTATAATAATAACCCACATCTGGTAACCAATTATGGGCACATCACTTATTTATTTATTCCTCATTTATTCTGTGCTCTTTAATTTGTGCTCCATTTCTGTTGTTGTCTGCACCACTACACTGAAAAAAGTGATGCAATGAAATTTTACTTGATTCATATACATATATTATTTTCACATTCATAAAATATATTACATTGAAACAAATATGGCCAAAGGTAAGCCAACTGAAAGACATACAATACCATACAAAAGTCGGAGACCAGCCAGAACAGTCATTAAGTACAAATTATTTAACACAGGAAACATATTTAACAGAAAATTACACAGAAGCCTCAACGACTAAATATAATATCAAGTCTATCAGTATTTAATTTGTCCACTCTTTTCTTTGGCACACCCTGCTGCCACTTTAGTAGGGGGGAAGGAAAAGTCAAAGTAAAATAAGTGAAAACTCCAAATCTGTATTCAAAAAATGATTAAAAGCTACAGAGAAAATGGAGCTTCTAACAACCGTGCAAGACCACCAAACCTGTCACCATGAGATAAACAGTACTTAAAGCCTTTATCTTTGAGAGAGAGGAGAAAGTCAAGCTCCTCTCTGAAAAGGTTCCTATGTCTCTGTCCGTCCTTCTTCTGCACTATATCACCAAAACTGGACATCTGAGATGTGGAATAACATTTTATGAACTGATGAATCTAAATCTGTAATTACTTGGATTGTGTGAAGCAGAATAAACTTTGGAGGTGTGAAATAAAATCACTGAAGATTTTTTTGAAAAACTGAAAGCAAGTCTCCAGAAAAGAAGTACTACTAAATAATGATGTGAACAAACTAAATACTAAAAATGATATGATATTGAGTTTTTGAGGTAGTCAAATATACATTTCCTGCTTTTTTCCTGACACTCAAAAATGAATAACGTGTACTTTATGGCTGTTTTGACTGACGGTGCACTGTATGTGAGCAAATGTGTTGATGTAATATATTTTTATATTCATGTGGATTCCATACACATAACAGGCCATTTGTCCACCAGTGAGCTTCTATAACCTAGGAACAGCTCAACCAGTTTGCACTTAAGTCCCTTTAGTTACTAATAAGCTTTTGTGTGTAACAAGCTTGAAATGCTAAGGGGTTAAATTGAGTGACCCCTGGAATAGTATGTGTAATTAAATGTCTATTTATTATGTTTATATACTGTATTTCTGGTGTAGAGAGGAGACTGGCTTTGTCCTGCTCAGATCTGTGGAGGCTGCTCTAGTTGTCCTTTCAGGAGACACTCTCTCTGCCAAACACAGAGGTCAGCACTCACAGTATTCACTTACATTTACACAGACACTCACACAGGGTCCTGTGTGGTTGTTGCTCTTGTTAGTGACCTGCAGTCTTTGCAGTTGAATCATGTGGCATGCTCTGCTTTTCCTGTAGCTCTGTTCCAGTTAGCTGTTAGCTGCAGTGCGAGGCAGGGAACTGAGAGCAGCTCGGTCAGCCACGGTGGCCTCAGAGTGCTGCTAAATGACCTCAGCCAGGTTTGTGTGTAGAACTCATAGTTGATCTTTCCAGGTAGAATAATTATGTGCTTGCTGTCTGAGGCCGAAATGCAATAAGGCCAGATTTGCTAGCTTTAGTTTATGAATTTGGTGTGTTTTGCTATTCCTGGCTCTTTATTTTCTCTGGCATGAAAGAGTGAATTTTATAAAATGGCATGTGAAAAATAAGAATAAGAACAGATCAGCAGACAACATGATATGAGACATGATAATTCTGAATTACTGGTTGAAGTTTAACATGAGATTTTGGCTGTTTGTTCAAGGTCCCAGCAGTGGTTCAGGAAAACCATGTTTTTGGACACACAGAGACTGCAGTCCGTTCCTGCTTTAATGGAGTATGGTTTTTTCCTTATACACACAAACGCCCACACACATACCATAATATGTGCCATATGTTTATATATATATATATATATATATATATATATATATATATATATATATATATATATATATATATGCCCCCTTTTACCCTGTTCTTCAGTGGTCAGGACCCCCATGGACCCTCACAGAGCAGGTACTCTTTGGGTGGTGGATCTGACACAGCAGTGCTGCTGGAGTTTTTAAACACTGTCCACTCACTGTCCACTCTATTAGACACTCCTACCTTGTCAGTCTACGTTGTAAATGTAAAGTCAGAGACGATAGCTCATCTGCTGCTGCACAGTTTGTGTTGGTCATCCTCTAGTCCTTCATCAGTGGTCACAGGACGCTGCCCACAGGACGCTGTTGGCTGGATATGTTTGGTTGGTGGACTCTTCTCAGTCCATCAGTACCTATACATGTCCCTGACATAGTAGCTTACCCCTTTTCTTGTCCTGAAAACGTATGAAAACAAGTACACAGAGATACACTCTGTTATTGTCTTTAGGTGATTAGTGCGAGTGTAGGGGAGGAACACTTTGTGAGCTGGCTGCAGTCGGAGCCTCGTCTTCTGCTGTGGCTCTCCACTCTCTATAGGCTGTCAGTCAGCGAGGCTGTGCTGCACAGAGTCCGCTGCCATGCCTGCAAGGCCTTCCCCATCTCAGGCCTCAGGTATGAGTGTGTTTTAATGTGTGTATGTGCATATTTCCCTTTGTGTTATGTGTATCTATGTGTCTAGGTTTCTTGAAGTGTGCATATTACTACTACTAATACTATTACTATCACTGAGAATAATAATAATAATAATACGTTTACATTCCTATATTTGGCAGTCGCTGTTATCCAAAGTGACTTACAGTTTAATCATGTTACAGAGGTGTGGAATGTAGTGTTGCGTAAGGACTGTTATGGGTATAGCGTGGTGCGCTTTCCCAGGCAGGGAACCAAACCTTAGTCTGTCACATAAAGGGCCACGGTATTAAACTACGTTATACCATAATAATTACATGTGTAGCAGGAAAGAGGTGCAGCAAGGTAAACACATAATACATAATTGTTATATCTTGTAACACTTCTTATCCAGAGTGAGGAATAGGTGCTTTGAGGTAGCCATGATAAGTGGCGTTAGCAAAAAGCACATGGGCAGCAAAACAATGTTTAATTTTGCAAGTATGTCAGGATATATTAGTCAGTGTGTACATATCTCTTAACCTCTGCTGAGTGTAATCTGTCTGTAGGTATCGCTGCCTAAAGTGTCTGAATGTGCACCTTTGCCAAAACTGCTTCCTCACTGAGACACGCACAAGAAAGCATAAACCGTACCATCCAGTTCTGGAATACTGCACTCAGGTCAGAAAACTACATTTGACAAATTCATGCAGAACTTTATGACCATTTCCTTACCGTTCACATAATCCCATCTGTACAGTACAGTGTAAAAGCCTAAAATTACACAACCCCATTTCCAAAAAAGTTGGGACGCTATGCAGAATGTAAATAAAAATAGAATGCAGAATAGAATTTCAAATGTTGATTCATTAGACCACAGGACACTTTTTCACTTTACCTCAGTCCATTTTAAATGAGCTCGGGCCCAGAGAAGGTGGCAGCATTTTTGGATCCTGTTTATATGTGTTTTTTTCTTTGTGTTTTAGAGTTTTAACTTGCATTTGTGGATGCAGCAACTAACTGTTTTCACAGACAGTGGTTTTCAGAAGTGTTCCTGAACCCAAGCAGTGCCGCCTAAAGGGCCCAAACATCATAGGTTTTCAGCCTTGTCCCTTACATACAGAGATTTCTCCAGATCCCCTGAGTCTTTTAATGATAGTATGAACCGTAGATGATGAAAAGCAAAAGTTCTTTGCTATTTTATGTTAAGAAACGTTATTCTTGAATTGTTGCACTACTTGATTGTGCAGTCTTTCACAGAGTGGTGAACCCCTCCTCATCTTTACTTCTGAAAGACTCAGCCTCCCTGGGATGCTTCTTTACACCCAATCATGTTACTGACCTGTTGCCAATCAACCACCAGGTTTTTTTTTTTTAGCATTACACAACTTTACCAGCCTTTTGTTGCCCCCGTCCCAACTTTTTTGGAACATGTTGATGGCATCAAATTCAAAATGGGCATATATTTTCAAAAAACAATAAAATGTCTCAGTTTGAACATTTGATGTGTTGTCTTTGTACTACTATCTATGAAATATAGGGTTTAAATTATTTGCACATCATTGTATTTTGCTTTTATTTACATTTTGCACAGCATCACAACTTTTTTGGAAGTGGGGTTGTATTTACAGTTATTTATCTGATTAGCAAACATTCATTTGTTAAAATTAGAATAAACATAAATATAATAGATCGTGATTTCATGTGTATCAGTGCACTAGCGTAACCATTTCCAAATCGCTCCTTGAGACAGCCCAGTATTTTTAGTTACCATCTGATACCTGCTTCAGCTAATCAATACTATATTAGGTTAAATCAGATGTGCTCTGTTCTACTAACAGCCTCACAACATAGCAAGAACTTTACTGAGCTTTACTTTTTACTGTATCAACCTCTTCTACAGGCCCCCTAGTGGCCTAAGACCTTTGCACAGTATTGTAATTCCTGCATATCTATGATATGTTATACTTCATCTTCAGCCCTCGTGGAAAGAATCAATGGCATCGCTGGCGTCCAGTGCCCGTCATGCTCTTCTGCCCAGGCGCTACACCAGGAGAGAGGTGGAGAGGAGGGCACTTAGAGCTAGATCTGACATAGAACCACAGCACAGGTATATAAAATCTGTGTATGTTTATGGGTGTTTGTGGCGTGTTCATTCCTTGAGTTGTTCTCGTTGCTTTCAGTACTTACTTTCCAGTGCAGCCACAGCAGCAGTGTGCCAGTGATCCTGGAGGTCTTCCTCCTCCTCCTCCTCCTCCTCCCTCTGATTCTCCTCCTCTGCAGATGAAAGTGGAGTCTAAAGCCCTGCAGACAGACGAGCCAGACGCACAGCCTCAGGTACGTCTATGGCTTCACATACCAGCAGCACTTTCTGACCGTCACTGATATGGACAACTGTATCTGGGTTTCTTACAGAGGAAAACATCTCTTCTTCAAAAAGACCTAAGCATCACGCAAAAGGCCATGAGGGACCTGCAGAGAGATAAATGGTAAGTTTTTGATTTAGCCCCTTAAAATCTAAATGTAAGACTGAGTGCTCAGTTATTGTTATACCACAGCTGGTCGCACTGTGATTGGCTGAGAGGCAGTCCATGCATACCATTATCGCCCAACAACTGCACTGGACCCAATCCACCCCCTCCCCAACTCAATTTCTATTTTAGAAAATGAACACTGGGGAGTGTGCAGTTAAACTAGACTAGGTTAGTAGGCTAGGCTACTAGGCCACTTCTGTTGTGTAGTAACACATTTAGCATATTTTAGAGCTATTTTTCTTTTTGGTGCATACATACACATTCTTGTTAATCAGTTTTATGTCATCATTATCTCAAAATCATAGTTTTTTATGTCATCATTATCTCAAAATCAATAATCATGAAGCTCCTCCTCCTTCCAGTCTAATGTCCTATAAAATTTCCTTCACCTTGCATTTCTTGTAACAAAGGTTTCGCCCCCACGACCAGCCCATCTCCTCCCTGTTCTTCAGTCCTCTTTCTGTTCATAAGTGGGGTCCAGCTTTGTAGCTCAAGCTAAGCCACCGAGAACTTCTGACCAAGTTCTTAGAGTTCTCACCCTTTCTACAACCATACAGTCTTCTTATTTTTAAATCATATATTGAAAATAATAAACAGTAATGAGACTGGTGTAATAATGCACTCATTACGCTATATCATACGATATTAGCTAGGTTCTGCAATCGTAGGTAAGTGGCTAAAGGCACTCTCTTATGTATTATTGCGTAATTCTTAGATATTAGTATTTAATGTTTAGTATTTTAGGCATGAAAGTGTGGGCCCACATATAGGTCTTTGAGGTTTATGCAGAAAATATCTAGAACACATTTATACAAGGGTTATATTTGACAATTAAAGCTACACTATGTAAGATTTTTGTTCAAATTAAAAGAAGTAGCATAATTAGGTCTGATGAGAAGAAAAACATGTTAAAATATGATGTGTGTGCGCTGCTGCTAATCACCCTGTAAAGCCTGAAACAGTCATTTAAAAAGTCAAAGGTGTCCAGATTAGGAGGAGTTTTTCAGGACACGTCACATGTCTTCATGTCTTAACGTCACTCACGCAGGCTCAAAAAGAAGATCCAGTTCGATGTTTAGGTCTCAAATGCAAAATCAACATTACACTGATGAAGATATGATAAAAATAGTAGATAATTCACTTACTTCCTCAGAAGATGCATCCCTCACGAAGTTTTGAATAAGGTCTCTTAATACTCTTTCAGTGCGCTTGCAATCGTCAGATTCATTTGCTCAGTGCAACATGTAGCATGCATTTACACACTTTCACCAGAGGGGTCTCCAAATCACCAAAACTCAGTCATATGCAGAAATGTGGGCACGACTGGGCAATTTACATATTTTGATGATATTCTAAGTGAAAATAAGTTAACACATCCTCTACAGAAATAAATTCCAACACATTTTAATACACAATTACTGTTTATTTGCAGAGTTTAACATATTGGGGAAAAATAAAACATAAAATCTGGCCTGTGCAAAAGTTATGGCACATTACGGCACAAGTTTGTTACCTGAAGAGGATGAATTGACTTATTTTCACTTTAACAAAACATGTAATTTGACCAGGCGTGTTTGCTTCAAACTTTGCTTCAAAGTGTTTGTGTCTCTGTGTGATCATCAGGCTGCTGGAGAGAGAGTTTCAGGTGTGGAAAGTAGCAGCACAGTCAGAGCACGACTCTCTGGAGGACAGGTGTGCAGAGCTGGAGACCACCATGGATGCACTGAACCATCACAACCGACAGCTGGAGGAAGAGCTGGAACAAATCCGACATGTGAGTGGATACACAGAAAGGATATGAGAGAGACGATGCCTGTCATGGTTACAATTAGAAATAGTTACAGCTGCATGCAAGCAGAGTTGAGTAGTATGCATGTATTGGCGTTAAGTAATCAGTTGCAGTTACAGAAAAAAGGCACAATCTGGCACAAAAGAAATCTCACAGCAAACTACGTGTTTTTTTATGGCAATAATGTTAGCTCATAATTGATGGATTCAAGTTAAACTAAATACAATATGTATTTTATAATATGTAATTTTGCTTTGGTAAACCACTTCCACAGTGTAGCTGTTCACTGGAAGTAATCTGTAGGACTGTATTCCTGTGGGAACGGTGTTACACATTATGACCACCTCCTTGTTTCTACGCTCATTGTCCATTTTATCAGCTCCACTTATTATATAGGTGCACTTTGTAGTTCTACAGTTACAGACTGTAGTCCATCTGTTTCTCTGCATACTTTGTTAGCCCCTTTTTACCTTGATCTTCAGTGGTCAGGACCCCCATGGACCCTCACAGAGCAGGTACTATTTGGGTGGTGGATCATTCTCAGCACTGCAGTAACACTGATGTGGTGGTAGTGTGTTAGTGTGTGTTGCACTGGTCTGAGTGGATCAGACACAGCAGTGCTGCTGGAGTTTTTAAACACCTCAGTGTCACTGCTGCACTGAGAATAGTCCACCAACCAAAAATATCCAGCCAACAGCGTCCTGTGGGCAGCGTCCTGTGACCACTGATGAAGGACTGGAGGATGACCAACACAAACTGTGCAGCGGCAGATGAGCTACCGTCTCTGACTTTACATCTACAAGGTGGACTGACAAGGTAGGAGTGTCTAATAGAGTGGACAGTGAGTGGTCACAGTGTTTAAAAACTCCAGCAGCACTGCTGTGTCTGATCCACTCGTACCAGCACAACACGCACTAACACACCACCACCACGTCAGTGTCACTGCAGTGCTGAGAATGATCCAGCACCCAAATACTACCTGCTCTGTGAGGGTCCATGGGGGTCCTGACCCCTGAAGAACAGGGTAAAAGGGGGCTAACAAAGTATGCAGAGAAACAGATGGACTACAGTCTGTAACTGTAGAACTACAAAGTGCACCTATATAGTAAGTGGAGCTGATAAAATGGACAATGAGCGTAGAAACAAGGAGGTGGTCATAACGTTATGCCTGATCGGTGTATACCCTCACACACACATTCACACCTAGAGGAAGTTTAACATCTCCAATTAGCCTGACTGCATGGACTTTGGACTGTGGGAGGAAACCCACACAGAATTGGGAAGAACACGCAAACTCCACACAGAAAGGACCCTGATCCCCCAGCCAGGGAATCAAACCCAGGCACTGGTCTGGGCTGATTAAGGGATAAAAGCTCACTTTTTAGTCATAAAGTTTGAACCAGTTCTTCTGATTTGTGTTCATGCAAGCTCAGATAACATATGGAACAACAGAAATCTAACAATTCAAATATGGACATTAATGGATTAATAACAGAATAGCATAACTGCAGTTTAAGGGGTTAAATATTGAACTAATCCTTTGTGTTGACCTGCACAGGCTTTGAGTATGAGAGGAAGATGTGAATTTGGCAGTCCTGACATCCAACAACTTCCCCCCTCACCTCCCTCACAGCAACACAACGGAGATGACACGAGTGAGAAACAGCGGACAGCGTCCGAGAGTACAGATTCACACCGCGGCTCCGTGGCTGAAGAGGGAGAGCCAGAGCGAGAGGAGGAGGAGGAGAAAGAAGAGAGGATGTGGGAGAAAAAGGAAGAGGAGGATGCCGCTCTTCATCAGATGCAAGAGGAAGCTCATATGGGTTTAAATGTTATGGAAGGTCTGGTAACACAGGCGAAAGAGGAGGTGCAGCTTGTTGGAGAGCCTGAAGAAGAGGCTTTAGAAGAGGCAGAGGAGCCAGAGCTTGAGAGGGTGGAGCTTATCACAGAAAGTCCACCCTCATATGGGTCCGCCCAGGAGGATTCTGGGACAGAAAACTCAGATGAGGAAGAAGAGGAGCTCTGTGACTTGGTGCAGAGACTTAAGGGTGCGCTCCTTCTAGCCGCTCCCACAGGCAAGTGCACAGGCTGAGTGCAGGTATTTTTGAGTGGTGCGCCAAAGTTACTTGATTCAAATATACGCATTGTTTACACATTAATAAAAGATACAACATCAGCACAGCTATTGCTAAAAGTAGCTAACCTGAAAGATACTGCCGTGTTTTATTAATGTGTAAGTTATGTGTGCATTCAAATCAAGTAAATCCAATGCATTCATTTTTCAGTGTGCAAAATGCACAAGAAATCTCTCTCAACATAAATACCATAACACTTTACTGTAGGGTACTGTTCATAAGGCTACATGACACCTTCATAAGCCTGTCATGATGACTGATATAACCCTATATGAATGTTTATAAATGCTTATTCCAATAGGCATCATCTGTCATAAAGGCTACTTTAGCTAACTTCGATCAAAATTGGTAAATGTGACCTTCATAGCAAATGATGCCAATTGGAATAAGCATGTATAAACATTTATGTAGGGTTATGTCAGTTATCATGACAAGCTTATGTGGGTGTTATGTAGCCTTATGAACAGTGCCCTACAGTAAAGTGTTACCAAAAACCCTTATATAGTCATATGCAAATATGCAGTTTTGCTACAATATGCATATGCAATATTGCATTTTCTTCTATATTTCGATATTATATTATTAAAAAACAAAAAATCTTAACTTTGCTATACGATTTGCACAGGCCACATTTTATAGTTTATTTTCAATTAAATTTAGCAGATAATCTGTGCATTAATATGCAAAAGTGTGTTCTGTTGATGTTTTCATTTGAACAACAGCGACGAATCCACATAGAAGAGAAAATGTCAGCAATTCCTAACTAAAATAAACACATAAAAAATGTTTTTCCTTCCACCTTCCAGGGTCCAGTGCTCATCAGAGAGAGGCGCTGTTACAGGCAGCAGGAGCTGTTGGAGATTCTGTATCTCACCTGGTTACTTCTGTCAGATCCTTCACCTAGTCTACAGATGTTCCTGGCCAATCACACCACAAACATGGGCAGAGGCCGTACATCATCAACCAACCACATCCCACCATTTATTTAATGTCTACTTAAATCTAACCATGCTTTCCTCCAAATAGCTGGACTGACTAGATGACGTGAGAAGGACCATCTGCAGCCCGAGAGCAGACTCTCTGTCTCCTGTTCACAGTCTCCATTTGTCCTGCAGGCGTGTGGATGAGAATTCACAGCAATGTGTTCGTTAGCGCGCCTGGTGTAGGTGCTCTGCATACAGCAAAGTCATCAGACTGCACAACAGGAATCCAGCCAAGTGCAAAGACATGTTCCATAACCAGAAGGGAACAGAAAGAGAAATCTTTGCTGTCAACCTTCAGACTGAACTTTATCAGAACTTTAACGTGGTGCCATTCCTGACAGCAGTTCTTTGATCATTTTCCACATTTGTCAAATTCAGAAAATGTTAAGCTAAACCTGCTTGAGCTTTAGTCAGATTCAGCAAGTACCCTAGTTCGCAATTATTTATTTTATATGTTGATATAAAATACATCACTTGGTCTTTTACCAAAGGAATTCTTTAATTTAATGTACTGTATTTAATAGATTGACTTTACAAGCACCACACTTAGTCATTCTTTATTGTTTGTATAAATACACAGAAAAGTTGCTTTTTATTACTGCATTTTATACCTGCGCTTTAATGCATGGATTGAAGTACGATTTTTTTATTTTGTATGCTGATATGAAAAACATTTTTTATATATAGTTGGCTCCATAATTATTGGCACCCTTGGTAAAGATGAGTTAAAAAAGATAAAAATGTCTTTGTGGATTTTTTTTTTTAACAAAACCACACACAGCACAATTATTGCCCCCTAGAAATAATTCTAAACAAAATGGAACTAAAGCGTGTTCCCATGTTTCACTTCAGTGTTCAAGAGCTGTTAAACAGTCATCTATGACTTGATCTGGACAGATTCTGCACTGAAAAGTGGTCTCAGGTTCCTTGTTCTGTGTTCTCTAATCTCATCAAACAATACAAGAGAAGACTCATTGCTGTTCAGTTCTGTGGTTATGCTGGCAAAGGGTGGTACTAAATACAGTGGTGCCAATAATAATGACGCATAGATTTGTTACAATTTTTTTTTTTTAATTTTTGTTTTCTTAATAAATTTACTTAAATTACAAGTTAGATTTTTTGAGTGTAACCTAGTTTATCACAGAAAGTTTTCATAACTGTTTGTTTTCTATCTTTACCAAGCGTACCAATAATTATGTGGCTGACTGTAATCCTAAATTTTTTTTGTTAATAAATGTTTATAGTACCATTTTTATTAATTATTTAATTGTATTATTATTATTATTATTGTTTTAATAATGCACCAGCAAAGATAAAAAAAAGACTCAATTTTTTGTCAACCTCTTTATTGTTTTGTAAATATTTCCATGGGAACATGAGATGAATGCAAAAGGGGTGGGCTTGTGGTGATGAGAATGGACATGAAGTGGCCTATGCCAGTGGAGAAAACCCCTGAAATCTTCCCTATTGGTTAATCCCAAAATAACCCCCCCCTTCTATGACACTGGGCCAGTCCACTCGATAGCCTACTACCGATTACTCACTGTATTTTTGCTTTTTGCTGTCCCACAAATATGACTATGATAACAAATATTAAATTTTAGAAGCTGAGTTTTTCCTTGAAACATTCATTTTTAAGTATTTAGAAGTTTATTCAAAAGACCAACGTAGTCATGGCCAAGCATATAAAAGACTGCCTAATGGTAGCATGATAGAGTCAATTGTGCAGTTGGTATCATTTCTCTATGGTTACCGATCCATAGGGTCTGTGCGACGTTTCCCCTTTGCATAGTAAGTAAAAGTTAATTGTTTTTTTTTTCCTTTGACATGCAGTTACCTTAAGAAGCGCGGCAGGCTGAGTGGGCTCCGCCCCCAGTGCAATTACATCATGCAGCTCTCGGTTTAGCTGAAAGAACATTCCGCACAGGGTGGTCCTACAGGGCCACTAGGCCCAGCCAGTATAAGACGTTATAAGGGGAGCAGTTATTGACATAACCAGGCATAAATAATGGTGTGTATGTGTGCATGTATGTGTGTGCGTGCTTGTTTATATGTGTGTTGACTACGCCAGAGTTTACAGTGTACTCGCTGGCCACATTGTTGGATTCTAACTTTGTTTGGTTTCCTCTTTTATCATTAATATGGCAGAAAATTCCTGCAATACAACATGCTAAAACTGGAAAGAAAAAGCAGTTTAAATCTATGTCCGTGTAAAATGAAGCCGAGACAACGAGACCAAAGTCTCGTCTTTTGTCTCAATACGGTATGAGTCTTTTCCGTGAGGTCAGGCAGCCTAGGCCCATTCAGGCCTTGAGACCACTAGAGGGGAGTCCCACCTGTCATTGGTTCTATGATCGATGCAGCATATTCAATGCAGGTTCATCTCCAACTTGCTCTTCTTTATATCATTCTAAATTTATAAATTTATAGAATTATGTTCTTCGTTTTTAGCTTTTTGTGTTGAGTTGGTGACCCTCCTCTGCCATGCAAGTGCCATAGCCAGGGCTGATCATGCCAAGTTTAAAAACGGGAAGGTCAGGATGATCGGAGCGGGAAAGCAGTACCCACGGCTGGTCATCGAGGTGATGGGTCAAAGATCGTGTAAGAGAACAAGGGTCTTGGGCAGGCGTCGGGTGCATGACTTTGGGTGAAAAATAATCTATTGTTCTTTGTCTCTTCCTTGTTTTCCTTTTCTCTTTTTTCAAGTAATGCTAACTGGCTGTTAGCAGCAGGAGAGGGTACAGTCCAGCAGGTAGCTCGCTGTCAAAACCCATGGGACACCAGGCAAGGCTGCAGTCTCGAGTCCTCTTCTAGATAGCGCTGGCATTGGCATCGTATCGTCTTTTCTTGACATTTCTTGGTGGTGTGGGCAAATGCAGGGGGGGCAGAAGATATGGAAGTTAGTGCAGGCAATGCCAGAACCATTAACATACACCATCACTGCCCTCTTGGGACACTGAACAGCTGAACCCAGGCAACCCAGCAACCACCATGTATAAAAGCAAATCACCAATTACTTGTCTAAAGCCCTATTTGAGCTAAATTAGATTTACCAAGAGAGGCACTATAATTTAACAGCAATTTAATATCAACAGTGATTAACAGCAAAACTTATAATTCAATCTGGTAAGAATCTGCAATGTTCATCGTTTTTACCAGTGTGACAGCAATAATTCTGGAATGAATGGCTGTAACTGGCTAAAACTACAGATCCCTTAGCATTAGTAGTCTTGCTTTTCGGTATTGGTCGAGCCTCACAGTCAAGGTTGCGGCCAAAATAGGAGAGAATGAATTAAGAGTATTATTAAGTAGGCTATACCGACATTTCATGGCTTACTGGCGTAAGCATTGTGAACAGCAAGTACCCAATGCTGCGATTAAGTTCTTGTAATGGTTTATAGTTGAAGTCTTTTTTTAAAAAATGTCTTAAATCATATCTACGTTATCTAATTTTCAAATGCCACTGAGTTCTTTGAATTCTCAGAAAAAGTGCGTACATTTTTAGACGCATCCGTAGGGTCGTACAAAATCAGACAGCCTTCAGTGACGTAATGGCTGCATCCAATTTAGTGTACTTGTAGAGCTACGGCCCTCATTTGCAAGTACCCACAAGGACAGCATCACAAGGCTGTCCCATGTCTCATTTTGCAGTCCAAAGGGGCACTCATGAGTGCCCTCTCTGGGCAAACAGTTTGGCTTTTGGTGACAACTTCATTAATGCAAACCCAACATTTCTTGAGATATAGGCTAGGACCAATCAGAGAGCAGGGGTTGGTTTACAGCTGTCTGACCAGGTAGTGAAGAAGATATTTAGGTGCAAGCTAAAATTTTTTTATTAATTTAAATTGCCATTGAGATTGCTTGAATGCTGGAAATCTATGTTGACATAAATAAGCAAATTAGGTACAGTAGATAAGCACATTAGAAACGAGTAATTTAGCTGGCTACAGTACCCATATAGCCTGTGTAACACACCCCAAATGCACACTTTTAAACCTAGCACCCTCAAAGTCTTCTGCCTCCACATCTACACATTAGTGATGTCACCGAAGTGTGGACTTTGAAAAAGAGTGCAGGACTTTCAGAAAAGGCCCAGATACGTCTAGTGAGTGTGGCACCTGTTGCAAAATGCAGCTCTGATTTTTGATTATGGACTGTATATTTTATCCATTATGAATCTGTTAGATTCCTTAGAAGGTAGCAAACGTATTCTGATAAATCTAATCCAGGTCAAATAGTGCTTAAGTCTCAATCCTGATTTAAAGGAGTTAACACATCGCTGTCCGCAAATTTTTACAATTTTATTTAACTGTACAATGTTGTTGGGTTGCCTTGGATACCAGCAGTTCCCCTTCGCAAGAGGAGCGGACGTAGAAGCGTCCCTCCACTCGGTGCGAGTGAGTGAGTGTTAGAAAGACACGGAAAGATATGGAAAAACAATATTACCTCCTGGGAGAGAACACCGACACAAAAAAAGGGAATAAACAGTCTACAACACTGAGGGTTGAACAGGATGTCACACCCACAACACGAACGACGACGATACCACCAGGAACGACAAGAAAGGCAACAAGAACGACAACGACAGGGGGGTGGGGTTTGACACAATCTCCCCGTAGTGTGGCTTGATGTGGGGCATCCCAGCAGTTTAACATGCACCTGTCCATAGAGAGGTTAGGCGGGAGACGCCACTTATCGCTGAGTGTGGGGGGGGGGAGGGGGGGGTGGGGTAGGGGGAGCATGCAGGTGCGGTGCAGTGCAGCGCAGTGTGTCTGTACCAGGTCTCAGTGAAGCAGGCAGTAAAGGCAGCAGTGTCGGGCGAGTCCGGGTGGGGGGTGAGGGGTCTTGCTCTGTTCTAGGTTTTCTGGGGGCCCCAGGGCCTTCCGGGAGGTAAAGAGGGCGTGGCAGCCAGCCATGGTACAAAGGCTGCCTACAACACAACCTCCACCCCTCTTCGCTCATACTCTCACCCTTTCAGACAACGGAGGGGGGATTGAGAGAGAGATCACGGCGAGGAGAGCGAGTAAGAAAGTCGTCATCCCCTCCCCTTCAAAATTAGAAAAAAAAAAAAGAAAAAAAAACAACCCACACCCCTAAAACCCAGGAAAACCTTCCCCCTCCCGCCCAATGAGGTGAGCTCAGCCTTGGTGCAATGCTCTTGATAGCTAGCATCTTGTTTTAGCTCTGCCTTATTGGTGCCAGTCCACATGCACAAACCCTCAGTGGCCTCAGTCAAGATGCTATGTGCAGACCAGCATGCTGAAGTGAGCTAAGTCTCCCTAAGACCAATATCGAATCGCCAAAACTAGCTGGCTAGAGAAACCCCTGCTGCACTTCTTGTTTCTCACATAGTTAACCTGAACACATTCTATGGCTTTAAAAATCAGTTCTCATATAATACATCTTAAAAGAGCAAAGATTTCCAAAACTTAACCATTAAGCATTAACAAAATCTGTTTTTTAGCATCCAGTGCATCTGCTAGAACAAATGTACACTTCTTTCGAAGGCAGACATATATGCTCATATATTACAGGTTAAATTAAATGTATACTTTACACATTTTTTTCATGCTAGTGAGTAAAATTACTCAAATAGGTTCTTACTTCCTTTTCTTTGATAGCATCACTTGGCAAATCAATTCATAACTGTTATTTTTATCATTTTGCACGCATGCATCTCAAGCGTCGGGCCAGTCTTCTAGAGGTTCTGCTACAGACTATCTGAGGGTCCAATCTTAAATGATTCGTGGAAGAGAATAAAGCATGAATATAAATGAACTGTGTATAAATAATCAGTTATGTAGTGATTGATTATAGAAATTATTAGCATTTTTGTATTATTTAATGATGAATATCAGGATTATGCAACATTTTTGATGGAAATTTTTAAAAACTGCTGTAAAGTAAAGCTTAGTAAGCTATACCATGCCTTGACTTCATTAGAGGTAGGAGTGGGCCATATAGCAAAAATATAACATCACAATATGTCAAGATGTCGATACAACACAGTATTAAGATTTTTTGAGATCTGATAAGCTGGAACAGGAAAAAGCTCCACTAAAATACTGTCAAAAACTATGAATACAATAATTTTTATTCATTGCATTCATGCACTGCACTAAATTTGTTTAAAACAGGTCTAATTAGGCCTCTTTTTAACTAAACATGCAGTTGGTCAGTCCTTCTTATATCCACAATATGCTCAAATATTTTAAATGCTCGGAATATTTTAAAATTTTTAGGATAACTGTAATTATTATCATATTGCCCAACCCTAATAAGAGGCCTTTCATTATAAATCTAAATAGCTTAATTATGCTTTTTATTGTAATAAACTTAATATATCTAAATTCAATTAATGGTTTCTGTAGAAGCAGGCAATATGACAATGTTTTTTGGTTACTGTGAAATGGTAGATAATATTATCTTTATACACAATAAGCTTTTCTGAGCATATTGTGGATATCATCAGTAGTTAAAGAACAGTGACCAACTGCATGTTTCGGTCACACTTTATATAGATGGTCCCCTATAGATGCTCTACAGATGCTGAACTCATTAACAAACCTTCTGGTGATGTTCAGTCGATTATCAACAACATTATGGTTAAAGTTAGGTTTAGGAGTAGATGTAGGTTTTGCCTTCAGGTTAAGTTTAGGGTTAGGGATAGATTCAGTAAACTCTTTTACACTGAACTTGAAGTTCAGGTGCATTTACTGTATATTTCGTTGAATGTTACTTAAAAATGTACTGTCCATTTACAAAGCATCTACAGTGGATCGTCCAAATAAAGTGTTACCCATGTTTCTTTACCAAGGGAACATAATTAGCTCTGTTTAACTGCTTTGAGTGCAGTACAGAATGTGTGATGCTGAATAAAAGTTGTATTCATAGTTTCTGATGGCTACTAGTGTCAAAATATTGAGACATGTATTGTGTATCATGGACATGCCTTACGTATCTCTGTATGATATTTTTGCCATATTGCCCACCCATAGTTTACTGTTACTAATATGATACTTGGTCCCAAAAGACATAGCAAACATTACTTTGAATTAAATGTTAAGAATTAAATTCTTTCTTTTTTTTTTAAGAATGTAAAGACAAATGTTTTTGCCCATATCTTTCTAAGTTGGGTCCAAATACTTTATTTGCAATAGCAAAAAATCTGTCTGTAGCAGAAGCTCAGGCCCTGATGTATGTGTGTGTGTGTGTGTGTGTGTGCTTTGGCTGTGTGTGTGTGTATACATGTGTGTGTGTATATGTTAGCCTGTTCCAGGCAGGCAGGCAGTAAGAAGCATGCGGTGTGGCTCTTACTTAAATCCCCATCCCGTCCCCCCCAGCACTATGGCTGCCATCAGGATGGCCCCCGCGATGGAGCCTATGATAAGGTTGGTGGCGCTAGGACCTGCAGAGGGGCATGATGGGAGAGAGACATGACGTAAGCTGTGTAGGGCAGGACACACAGCACGCAAGGCTTGTACACATGAAATGCAAGAAGCTGTAGGATCCTCCTTCGGCTGCTTGGTTTGCACGGCTGCTGCAGCAATGGCTTGTTATGTATGTCAGTGCTTCCTGAATGAGGTTCCGAAGTGGTACAAACCTAGAGTGCATATGAAGCCATGAGAGCTCAATGAAAGGAATTCTCCAGTGTTTTAACCTAATCTCTAAGTGCCATATCTGTAGTGTACAGTTGATATCCACTAACAGTCATTTCAACACGTTTCCCCACACAGTACAGTACCACAAACAAGTCAGAGAGCCCCCTTCATTTATTTAACAAAACAATTTACTCATTTATTCAACAAAACAATTGGTAAAAGTGACTCCTTTTTCAGATATCTAATGCCGTATTTTGTTTTAACTCAAATAAATTAAGTCGGTTGCACATAAAACTCAGTATATCCCACACATTGCTCAACAATTTTGAGTTAAGGGAACGTTTTTGATGATTTTGTACACTCAAATGGTATTTTTGAGTTAAATTAACTTATTGCCATGGCAGCTTTGAAATCCCACATTCAAAAAAATGATGGCATTTCTGTTGGTTTTAATTGTTTCTTTCCCTTTAAAGCTGCTGAACGAATGTGTGAAACTGAGTGGAACTAAGTAAGCTGTAAAATACAGTTACATGTTTGTTTTGTTAACACAATCTTATTGGATAAAACGTATATATCTTTCCCATTGGCTCCTGGCTTCATCTATTTGCATATTGGGTTTCTTTCCATTTGTTTTACTCACCGTCAGTGTGCTTTCATTCCACCCAGGAATGGCTGCCTTTCCTCAGCCGTATGCTTTTCATCTATGTTTTATTCAGCTGCCTGTCTTTGGCTAAAAGTGAAGGTTATCATTCTCGTTGCTGATGACTGGGGATTTGTGTTGGTCAGTGACCGCGTTCACGCTAAAGGTTAACCCTTGGGTGTTTGGCAAAGTGGTTGATATCACAAAAAAATCTTAATGCCTCATGAAACATATAATAAAATTGCAACTTCAAAATGTTAAATGAAAATAATTAGTAATTTATGAGTTGCACAAACATGCGTTTATCTTAACCTAACGCAAAAATTATTGTTATTCTAACTCAAGTTTTCGTTACACATTACTTCACTTTTTTAAGGCAACTGGTTTCCTCAATTTTTTTAAGTAAATTCAACTTATCCAGGCTTACAGTGTATAAGTTTTAGGGGATGCAGGGATGTTTTTCCACACCTACAAAGTTCAGTCACAGAAGTTGGTTCAATGTTCTGCATCTCACAATCCAAATAATCCCAAACACATTCAATGATATTGAGGTCTGGACTCTGGGGTGGTCAGTCCATTGTTCTGAGAACACCAGCAGCTTCTTTGTTTGATTTGCACATTAGCTTCTTTTTTGTCTGTTTCCTTTTCTCAGTAAGGGCTTCTTGACAGCTACACACCCTTCAGACCCATAGTGCTGAGTTGTCTTCTCACAGTAGAAGGACGGACAGAAACACCTGTGCATTTTTTTCGATTTGAAGCAAAATTGGAGCTTGATTTTCTCCTCTCTCTCAAAGATGAAAGCTTTAAGAGCTGCTTATCTGATGGTGATGGTTTTGGTGGTCTACAGGCTTTTGGACGGTTGAGCTTCCCTTTTTCTCAACATATTTCAATCATTTTTGGGAACTCTGGTTTTGTCACTTATTTTCCTTTGACATTCTCCTTTCTTATGCAAGTGGATTATCTTATGTATTCTCAGAAATATCTCCTGAAAAATGAAGAAATTGTACTTAAAGTCTGTTTTGACTGGTCTTTAAAATGAAGGATGGTCTCTGACTTTTGTGTATTGTACAATAAAACCCAATGAGCAGGTAAAGGGGCTTTTTATATTTTTCCAAACCCGAAGGGACCACACTGCTCATGTCATGTTTGGAAGTCATTTCTCAAATATTTGTCGGGCTGGGTTGGGTTCAAAGTTCTCGTTTCCACTTTCACAAGATTTTACCCTGCATTTCCCCCGCTTTAGTTTTTTCCTCTTCACTGTATTCTTCCTTCCTTCTTTCATTACCTTTAACAGTTTCATCTGGCATGCAAGAGTCACCCACTCATGTTGCTGACAGAATTTAGCACCAAACTCCACAAGGCCCACACTTTGTGGAGAAAAGGAATGCACAGGAAAAAGAAGGGGAAACTGATTTGAGAAATGAGAAAGTACCGTTCCTGTAACATCCATAACATCTTGCTATGTCAGCACTGCACAGTATAAGAATGGTGCGTTATGGAATGGTTATCAAAAGGATGTTGTTTGAAAACATTGGTTGATGAATAAATTCATTAAAGTGGCCTTTAAATGGATTTAAGAAATAACTGAAGTTTGAGAAGAGGACCATGCCTGAAACTCCTCCTCCTTATGATCCAACACCCCATCAATTTTCATTTCTGTCCTCCATTTCCTGTGATTATTTCATACCCACCACCATCGCATCTGCTCCTTGTGCCTCAGTCCACTCTCAGTCGTACCTCTGTTTGTTAAGAGGGATCTGGCCTTAGGGTTAGAAGCAACTGCCCATTAGCTTCTAAGTGTATTTTTAGTCAACAGGTTTTCTATTCTTTTGTAGCGTCTGGGAAACATGACAAAATTATTTTCTGTGGCAATCAATCAGCTGTGAGACACAGATGTGGCAGATAAGAGATTACAATACTGTGCAAAAGTCAGAAACCATCTTTCAGTTTATTTAATGTCCAGGCAAAATGGCCATTACGTGTGGATTCTCATTTTTCAGTGTCAGAAAAAAAGCTAGAAATATATTTTTGACAGAAAATTACACAACAGCTTCCATGCTAAGTATAATAGCAAATCTATCAGTATTTAATTTGTCCACTCTTTACTTTTGTCCACCCTACTGCCACTTTAATTCTTTCATCCTTCCAATCAGCAAACCAACTAGTTACAGCTGTGTCCAACAAAAGCTGTTCCCAAAGATCTCACTGACATCATGTTCCCCTTCAAAGAGACACAAGCATTCACATATATCACTACCCAAACTCACCTTAGCTGCCTTGCAAATTAATAACTGGGATGAGAAAATGCAACCAACTTCTACGACTGAATTTTGGCGATGTGAAAAAATATCCCTGAAGATTTCTCTCCCCAAACAATGTAAGACAAAGGGTGGACACACTAAATACTGAAAAAATAATATGTATTAGTTGAGGCTTTTGTGTATTTTCTGTTAAATATAGCTTTTCTGCTTTTTCCTCACACTAAAACATGAACTTGTACTTAATAACCATTCTGACTGGTAATGAAATAAAGGGTGGTCTCTGACATATGCAAAATACTGTAGGTTCAAAAACTCTAGAGTATTGCTTTAAGGAAGACTTATCATGGTTATACTCCCTAAAAGCATGTCTTAGTTGTGAGGTGGGTCAGTTATTATCAGTTATTTTTCTTAGGGTTTGAAACAAATTAACAAAATAATAAACCACCAGAAACCCATAAGGCTAAACAGCTAAAGGCACCACGTCTTACTGGCTTTTACACATATCATCGCTGCCGGGGGGCCTGACGAGACCACGCTCACACACACACACACACACACAAACACACACACATACATACATATACACACATAAGTCTGAGCAACTGACGTACAGATACAGTGATAATGAACTTCGATTTGAACTCTCTCGACCTGGTTACAGTGCAGTATCTAGAAGAATTCAACAGCTTTTGCTGTTCAAAAAGATCCAAGTCGACTGATTCGCTCCAGCTTCTTTATCACTACGCAACTATTTTTCTTTCTTGCTGTTCTTTTTTTGTGTGCGTAAATGCCCCACATGGACCAGTAAGGAGAGCACTGCAACACTGCGTAACACAGAGTCATAATGATCATATTCATAGTGATTACAGTCAAGGAAAGGGGGAAAAATGATGTTTACTGATCGATCCAGCAGGTTACACAACACCGATCAATCACATGGCACTGTCACGACAACCACGACGGACAAAAAAGCCACTGGGAGGACACACTTACACACGCACACGCACACAAGGGATCACAGCATCTCCCGCTTGCTGGGGGAGTGGCGTTGAAAGGGATGAGAAGTGCTTACTCTATTCCCCACCCTGTGCCTCCAAAAATCACCCCCAGGGCCAGAATGGTCCCTGCCACTGCCCCTATCAGCCTGTTAGTGGCCACGCTCACTGCGCAGAGGAAATAGGGGGTGATTCAACAGAGAAAATGTAAGATAAGGCCCCATGTACAAGTCCTGTGACTAGTCATGAGGAAGATTGCCATAGACTAAGCGGATGAGTGTCTATATCTACATGTGGGTATAATTGCAAATAATAGATGCTGATGTGTCTGTGTGGAATGGAAACAAGGCAAAGAGAGGTCACGAACCCTTAGGACCTTCGTCTTCGACGACAGGTGGCTCTTTCGGCGGGTCGTGCATGCTGCAGTCTGTTCCCGCCCAGGTGGCGTCGCAGGTGCACGTGGCTTCGTTATTGCACACCTGAGAACAAGCAAGAAATACAGCAAAATAATGAAAAAACACTCAGTTAGCAACACATTTGCAAGGCGGAGAAAACCAACCCTTTAGGAACAGGTTGGGAAAAGAATTTAAACAAGTCTGGAATACAGATAACGTATTATGCATATGGGTAATAATGCCCTGTGAAACCTAATCAAGAGAGAGCCTGACTAATGGACCCATTTTCCAGGTTGATATCAAATGTCCACCACAGTTTCCTGGATTAACATAGCAGCTGTTTAGCGCGTCGCTGCCGCTAATGCAGGGCCACTCATCAGAGAGGTGAAAATGGAAATTAAGAAACATCAAAAACATGTTGTGAAGAATAGTGTGGGCTTTCACAACCCTCGTTGAAATACACAGAAAGCATCCATAAACATGAGTGCAGCCATAATTGAATATCATTTAGCTGAAAGGAGTTTTAAAGGGTTAGCAAGGCTGTTTCAGTTCTAGAAAATACAGGATGTAAACTTAATTTAGGGCCTTAATTAAATGAATTACAAGTGCACAAATGGAGCAACAAGGGAATGAGAAAAATGGAGCAGTTTCGTCCCAGCAGAGATTCGTGCTTTAGACTTACTTACTTGCACTGATCGAGGTTTTCCCTGCTTTAAAACATTTGATTCAAAGTAAAGGGCTGAATCAAATGTGTTGATGGCTGCACCAATTAGTCAACAAAGTCTATTAGTCATTGATGAAAAGGCTGTTGTGTTGTTTACATAAAAACAAAAGTGCTCTGAAACATTTTGTAATGGCCATATGATGCATGCGACCACTCTGACAGATTGCAATACATGAAATAAATCATTGGTAATAAATCAAATAACAGTCACTAGATTAAGTGATTATAGAAATAACTGTTACCTCTAAAATTCTGTTGTCACTGTATAGTCATCATTATGCCTATATTAGGAACTCAGAGTCTAAGCTTGTTTCCTTTATGCAAAATATTGCTGCTATAATGATCTGTGGTTACAAAAGTGTCCAAAAATTTTACCAGACGTTTAAATCGTCGAAAGTTGTTGGATCCTCTGAATTACAAGGTCATTAAAAAATATACACTGATCAGGCAAACATTATGACCACCTCCTTGTTTCTACGCTCATTGTCCATTTTATCAGCTCCACTTACTATATAGGTGCACTTTGTAGTTCTACAGTTACAGACTGTAGTCCATCTGTTTCTCTGCATACTTTGTTAGCCCCCTTTTACCCTGTTCTTCAGTGGTCAGGACCCCCGTGGACCCTCACAGAGCAGGTACTATTTGGGTAGTGGATCATTCTCAGCACTGCAGTAACACTGACGTGGTGGTGGTGTGTTAGTGTGTGTTGTGCTGGTACGAGTGGATCAGACACAGCAGTGCTGCTAGAGTTTTTAAACACCGTGTCCACTCACTGTCCACTCTATTAGACACTCCTACCTTGTCAGTCCACCTTGTAGATGTAAAGTCAGAGACGATAGCTCATCTGCTGCTGCACAGTTTGTGTTGGTCATCCTCTAGTCCTTCATCAGTGGTCACAGGATGCTGCCTACAGGACGTTGTTGGCTGGATATTTTTGGGTGGTGGACTATTCTCAGTCCAGCAGTGACACTGAGGTGTTTAAAAACTCCAGCAGCACTGCTGTGTCTGATCCACTTAGACCAGTGCAACACACACTAACACACCACCACCACGTCAGTGTGGAGCGTGATTTGGATGTCGGCTCCGTAACAATTTTGTAATTCAGAGCATCCAGTGACATCTGTAGAACAACACATATTCACGTTGGAACATTTTTGTTTACCACATAATGCGATTGCTGCGATTTTTACAAAACACTATTCATTTTTCCCAAAATGTGAGCCAGCTGAGACCCACAATTACTTATTTGGGCATGATGCTGCCTACAAAATGACGTACCACTTCAGAGGTCTATAGGGCAGCAGGTCACCAGAACTGCGATTCAGAAACTGATGGGTAAACGTAGTGACTCACGCCATGTGCAGAGCAAACACGTCCATCAGGCCCTGAAGGACAGGCTGTGAGGTTGAGGGAGGAGATGGGCAGACACTTCCGGTCAAGGCACATCATGGAGGGGCCACATGGCGTCCCGTCCTCCACATAACCCAGATCAGTGTCGTCATCCAAGAGGACACGGCCGCCGCTGACAGTGGGGCGAGGTGGATCCATGAACAGAAAGAGGGACAAAAGTGAGGACCATGAGGTGAAGGCCAGAGGGAGATTAGAGATGAAGACAAGAACACAGAATGAGATCCAAGATTCTTTGTTGCTGCCCAACAGTGTTGGTGATATTTGCGTTTGGTGCAGCTCTGTACTTGACAATAAAGTCTATAAAGACAATACTTGAAGTGGACAAAAGGGCAGGGCTGCAAGTCTATCTGTGAACGTGCCTACCCGTAGATCTCCAGTTTTAGAGACCCAATGCAACTGACCTGCAGTCTACCAGTCGCCCCTGATGGTTGAAAGTGGTGGGGGTGATGTCACCTTTCAAAGTCCCAATCCTGGGGTTTCTGCCGATGTTGGTGCACAGAAGGTACCCACAGAACACATCACTGGTGTTGGAGATAAAGAAAATGGAAGATTGTTTTGATATGCAAATTGAGACTTCCAGGTTTTGTTGCACATGCGAATCTTTTGAGTAGCAATGTCTGAAGAATGACAAAGAACTTATACGGACTGTTTGCTGCAGGGGATCCACTTCTCCCCATCAACGCCACAGTTTCCTTTCTCTGTCCCCTCAGTGTTTAGCTTTTCATAGCAGTGCTTCTCTGAGCCCCCGGCCTCTGAGAGTGAGAGAAGGGAAAGACAGACAAAGAGAAAAAGAAAGAGAGAGAGGAGGTCACATTATTTCACAGTGGCATGGTCAGTAATTGCATACTGTGACTGATCCTTTCGTCCGTGCTAGCGTAGCTCACTTGGACCCCAGATGTACTTGCACTGGCTCTCCCTGGTCTTGCACTCGCCTCCATAGCAACGGCCCTGGAACAACAAGAGATGCAAGGAGAGGAGGCAGTTCCAGTGAAACAGCTTAAAACAGCTAACTCGGCAATGACGACAAGAGTCTCTGCATCCAAACACCTGCAGCGTCCTGAGTGTTGCATCATATTTTACTCAGATACTCTGTAGCTATGAAGCTCAATACCTCACCTGGTTAAGCTGACAGGGGTAGCCATCCTGCTTATGAAGGTTAGGAGGACACTGTAGGAGAAAAGACATCTTCGGTTACAACATATATTCTCTGAGGATGCAGCTTCTTCAGTTACATGTTATTTTTTTAAGTTCCTTGATATCAGGACATGATTTTGATGTTTTGCTGTATGCATGTGTAACATTTTTAGCCATTTCTGCACATTTGCCTTTGGCTTTACGATGACTGTAGCACAACACAAACTGTCATAAACATAGTGCTGCGCAAAAATCTTAGAACACGGTTCATTTATTTTATTTTCAGTCAAAACAGTCTTTAAGTGTAAGTTAATCATTTCTCAGCATGGGGAAAAAAAGCAGAAAACATATATTTAACAAAAAATACACAGAAACTTTAACAACAAAATAGTATTTAGTGTGTCAGTATTTAGTGTGTTCATGCTTTGCCTTTATAACAGCTTCAGTTCTTTTCAGGAGACTTTCTTTCAGTTATTCAAAGAAATCTGCACACTGTTAAAAATGAGATGTCAGCTCAACTCAAAATATTATAGCAACTCATTACATGGCTTTTCTTGAGGACACAAGAGTTCACACAACTCAAACTTCTTAGTTGAGTCAAAAGTTCTCTTAATTTTTTAGTTCTGCATCTCAGTTAGGTAACTAAAATCTACATGTTTTTTTACATCTTCCCCTCTAGCCAGGACTCTTTCCTTCACACAATGCTGCCAGACATTTTTCCTCTTGGGTACACACTTACGGATGGCTATGGCATCACTGGGGCTCAAACTCACAACCTCCTGTTGGGGTGACGGCTTAGTCCACTGCACCACTCAGGAACACCTGAAGCAACTCAGATTTTGTGTCTACAAATGTTTAATACACTGGAGAAAATGTTTGTTGTTTTAACTTTTAAGCATGGCGTCATCTCATTTGGTACAACTGCCTAATAATTCATCCCAACATCAGGAGATTTTGAGTTTGAGTTGGGTAAACTCTGGTGTCCTCAAGTTGACTTGAGTCAACTCAAGAAAAGCTACGTAATCATATCCTTTTGAGTTGAGCAGACTCCTTTTTACACTGCTGAGATATTTTTCCTCACCTCCAAAATTCAGTTTTAGAGGTTTTTTCTGCATTTTAAATTCTAAGCAATTCCAAACACATTCAGTGATGCTGAGGTCTGGGCTCTGAGGGGGCCAGTCTTATGTTCTTTCCTAGATAACAGCTTCTTGACAGCTACACATCCTTTCATACCCATAGTGTTGAGTTGTCTTTTCACTGTGAAACCTGTGGATTTTTTCAGATCTGAAACAAAGAAGCTGTTTTTTCTCTCAAAGAAAAAAGTTCAGTTTATCTGATGGGGACAGTTTTGGTGGTTAACCGGATCTTGCGCGGTTGTTAGGAGTCCCATTTTCTCTGTATGACTTTTTGACGTCCAGTTTTGGAAACTCCAGAAATATCTCCTGAAAATCTGTAGTGTATGTAATGCTATTGCTGACCCACCCATTGCAATGCCTAATGACAATATAGCTGCTGCCAGCCTAGCAAGAATCAAATAAGACTCCAGGTCCTGTTGGTCTAATGCTATGTTTGATTGGTGCTGGAAACTGGGAAATACCAGTTTTCCCCACTTGTAAACTGTCCTATTTACAACAGGGAAACTCTGTATTTTGGATGACACACAAGTCATGTATAACATGACCTGCCACCTTTTCTACCAGTGAAAAAGTGGTAAACTTGGTGGTGAATGTGAAAAAATACACCTGTTCTGCTACTATACACTTTTTTAATGTAGCAAGGTACACATTTTCCAGACCTCCTTGCCTTCTTTTCCTGTGTGGTGGGTTTTAACAAGCATTTTAACAAGCTGAACGGAGTGAAGCTGTGTTTGTTACCTAAACATCTGCCATGCACAACCTTACTATGAGCCCTTGACTGCAGCATAAGGGCTATATTTTTACTACAGTGTCTTCTACTAATTCTGTCAGTAAGAGAAATTATCCAGGCATTTCAGTGCCAAAATAGACCGGAGCCTCACAGCTAGAGCCTTCTGTGTTTGTGACAGAGAGACCAGTGTCTGTTTATGTGTGAGAGAGAGCAGCAGTAACCTGTCCCGAGTCTCCTGAGCAAGTCTCTGTAATATCGCAGTCATTCACAGCATAGCGGCAGCTGTACCCCCGTGGAATAAACTGAGGAACATAAAAGAAGGCAGAGAAAAAGATGAGAGAAGATGGAGCTAGCAGAGCCAGTGCCTTTTAATATTACATTAGTCATCTTTTTTTAGGCTTTCCGAGCTACAAGAACAAGATTGACGAAGGATGAAAATGTACTGCTTTCAATTCATCCATCCCTAAAAAAGAACTGTTCAATTTAAAAATAGACAGCTTGCCTGAGTAATCCAATTCAAGCTAAAATGTACAAGGAACGGAGTAAATAGAACTAAAGTGTATAATAAATTGGCTGCTCACCAACATTTATCACTTAAGTTTAGTCTTTATTTCTGTTGTTTGTGAAGTCTGATCCCATTCCTGGTTTGGCAAATTAATAAAAATTCTATAGACACTTCTGTATGGAATTGGGTGCTTTTATGGCCTTACCAGACAGGTGCTGTTACAACAGGGCCCGTCACTGCAGTGAGCACCATTAGACAGAGAGCACTTCTTACAGCAGTCTTTATAGCACTCCTGCAGCAGCAAAAACATACAGTAGTCACTCTCACAAAGAGCTGGCAGTTCAAATATGTTGCAACCCCGCAATAACGGTATTTTTCGTAATTTATGCATAATTCAGTCGTTGAGATGTACACAAGGTCATTCCCGTGACTTGATGTGAAATGATTCACTGTAAAGAAACCTAACAAATCAGATTTCTTAACAATGGTGGTGACAGGAACCAGGGATTGTAATGTCTATTCAAATATCCTCAAAAATAGCCATTTTATGTTTTATGTATCCACAAAAACCTACACAAGTTTTACATGTAATGTTAATAATGGAAAATGGATGTAAATCTTAAATAATTATTTTTTTCTTTGGGTACTATTTTGCCTTACAACACCCTGCATGTACCTCACTGCCATGACAGAATTTTATAAAATGCGTTTAAGGCTAAAGTGTTAAGGGAATGTCTGGTTCCTATCACCACCTTGAACATGTCTGACAAAGTCTCTCTAGAATGCATTTCTCATCTTATTTTACTTACTTTTTTAAATCTTAATGATTTAATTGTGCATAAAATTTGAAAAATCAGTTGAATTCCCCTTTGAAGCGCCCATGTCCTACATTATTAAAGCCCATTTACAGCTTTTGTGAAGTTTAATATACAAAAAAAGTTATTTTTCCATGACGATTTTCCAAATTTTCTATTTTCCCTTAGAATTAAACAGGCTGTTTTTGTTACTGTATCTTTAAGACTGATATATGTAAATGAGCTCTGTTCTCATTGGCTGTCCTCTATTGTGCCTCATTCAAACAGCAGTCTGGGTTTAAATACTCTTTATAACTTCAGCATGAATAGGCGGAGCTAAACTGCTGTAGGTGAAACAGGCAGATATATGTAAATGTGATGTTTGCATGGCATCACATACACAGTGAATTCAAGACAGGCTGTTTTTTCAGCCCAATTACCATATACGGGCTGTATGGGCAGGGAAGTGAAATGTACATTTTGAAACTTTAACAATGTTTACATGCTACGTCAAACTTTTTGATTAGATTGAATTCAGTTTTCCAAGATACAGGCCCTTTAAGTATACATGTCACTGATGGTATATGGTAGTAATGGTAAAAACGATAAATGTCAACTCACCATCCGGGCTCCACAATCACACTCCTCTCCAACCTCCACGTATCCATTGCCACACTCTGTAGCCTCAAAGAGCTGCAAACGGACAGGCAACTTTCTCTTCATGACAGAAGACTTACAAAGTGCTTAATCAAAGTGCTCAATAATGTGACATGGTTAAGGACCAGCTTGCATTATTTTAAACAAAATAATTTACATTTAACTTCAAGACTCTGACTTCTCCTTCTTTGAAAACAGATGGACAGCTAAACGGATACTACTGAGACACCGGAGGAAGAGTCGTCCAAGAGTCGTTATGAAGAATGGACTACAGCAATGGCACAGCTGGCTGCTTATGAGAGAGACTGAACAGACTTGATCATTATACACTCACATGGAGTCCCTTCACCAGCAGGCTATCAGCAACTTAATGACTTATAATTTAGTACCATAAACAGGCTGTAACCTGTGCTTAGAAGGAAATGTCAGTGTGGTGTTTTTTCCTGTTTTGTAACTGATATTAGTGGTAGTCTTGATGACTCTTTACTTGGGTACATTGATCCTTTTATTTTATGTTCAAATTTTCAATAAAATAAAATATTTGTTAAAAATTAATTAGAATTTACATTTGCTGGATTAAATGAATACATCGGTTAATCCTAACGTTCAACTGGAACTGTGATTTGTCAAGATGCTCACAGTAGACAGTAACAAGGGTACACAGCACTGCTCTTATGAGGCATCAAAAGCTATTTGAGAGCTAGTAGTACCCCTTAGAGCATATGAGTGAGTTACAAACCAGTTCCATGAAGTACTTTACATCTAAAAGCACTGTGACTCCTGTCTGGGTGTATTTAAGCTTCTGATGTGAGGTCATCAGTATTGCCGAGGCCAATATTGTGATAACAATTAATATTGTGCAGCCCTAGTGTGTCTTATGTTTTACAGAAGGATTTTGTTTGCAGTGTATGTGTGTATAAGGGGTGGGATGGGAGGATAATTTAATGAAATTCAGGATCACCTTGTTGGGTCTGTTAAACAGACAGGAAGCGCCTCCCCTGAGCAGAAAGTTCTTATAGTCAGTGATGCTGCATTTGGAGAACCTGCGAGGATGCTGCACTCTAAATAACAGAGCAAAGCAACCAAGGCTTAGAAAATGTGTGATAACATACATGAAAACTCTTTGAAAGGAACGTGAGAAATGCAGCACTGTACCCTGTATCTTCCATTATGCATCCCACCCATGAGTCCATGCAGCCACACTCTTCTGTAGAGCACAAAACAGACAGACAAATTAGAGTAAATTAGTAGTTTGGCAAAAAAAAAGTGTTAATTAATCTTAAATAGATCTGCTTATGTTTTAACACTGTGACTCATACTGTCATCTATTAAATGGACAAAGGTATCACTGTTGTCGGAAGAAAACCTCGTATCTCCAAAATAGTAACTTTACAGGAGAAGGAAAAAACATGCTTTACTTTTAATGTAAGTCAATGGAACCAAGTCATTTTGGGCCGTTTCTTTTGGTCCATTCTTCATGAAATTTACATACAGTGAAAAGGGCAACAAGTATTTTCAGATTATGATAAAAACTGAAAAACTGAGGTTTTCTTCCGACAACAGCCGTATGTAGCATAGCTAAAAACAGTAGTAGTGGCAATTGAGAAGCCAGAAATTTGGCCATACTAAAGAAGAAGACTTCAAGAACCAAACAAGTCTCGAATAATTGGTCACATTTAGTGTAAAGGGAAAACTGTGTAAATCAAATTTTTCGCTAAAGTATTCCTTAAATACTCAAGGGCCTCTCATAATGAATAGAATAGCATAACACAGCCTTAGACATACTTCTCCTGATAACAGGGTCCCACTGGATGCCCAAATTCTGTGCCAGACTTTGAGAGAGAGAGGCAGCCATCGTCCATGTGCTGCCAAACTGAGGAAGTGAGAGAGGAAACAGAGAGGGAGTAGTAATATCATATGTCAAGTCTCATTCAAGCAGTTTTTTACTAGAGGTGATTTTCTCTTATAAAGTTTTTATGGGTTTTTGCATGAAAAATCAGTCATTTTTACATGACCATTTCCCATCCTCTCTTTATCCCTTAGAATTAAAACAGGCTGTTTCGTTACTATGCCGTTACAACTGGTATATGTAATTGAGCTCATTTCTGTTTGGCTGCTGTGTATTGTGCCTCATTCAAAAAGCAAGCTCAAATACTCCAGATAACTTTAGCATGAATGGCTGGAGCTAAACTGTTGTAGGCTGAATAAGTGGATATATGTAAATGTGTTGGTTTTGGTGACATCACATTTAAAACGAGCAGTTTTTGCAGCGGACTGTGGTTTCTTTTCTTTTCTTTTCTTTCATTGGTTTTGGTTACTTCCATTCTGTTTTTGCCCATTTTAATTTCCAGAGCTTACACTGTTAACAGATCAGCTATTGATTGTAGGCGTATCCTGATGTAATATTTAGTAGCTATATGTGTTTACAACAGAAAGTATATTGTCCTGATTTAATCCCTAGCAGATGTAGCAATAGCTGCAGGGGAAATAAAAAGTATAAAAGCTTACATGCTTAAACTGTTGTCAGACTGGGTTACTACAGACCGATATTCGAATAAAGACATCATTCCTGCAAACCCTGCTCTCTCGAGTCCTTCCTTGACGTGGATTTACTACAGGACTGAGAAGTGAAGAGTATGTTTTAAAGTTTCAGCAATGTTTATGTATCTTAGTCTTTATTAAAAGAAATGAGAAAAATTTTGTCATTATACGTCCTTTCAAATAACCCAAACATCCCAGGCTTATCTTTCAACTCAATATGAAAAACATGCACCCAGACTCACCTCATTAACACCCACTCCTCGTCCTGCTGAACACACCCCGCCGATGTAGGCCACGCTGCTCCGGCCATAATGAAACGTGACATTCCTGCAAAGAAAAAAGAAAACAACTTTCTTTACTGTACTAATGCTGTTGTTATACCGTACTAAAGTGCTGACTATTGCAGACTCACGTAAAGAGGTGGACAGCATCAGCATTGATGCGGATGTTCTGCTGTCGATATTTGGAGAAATCTCTGAGCATTTCCAGAGGCTTCACACTAAGAGGAATCCTGTCTCTGTCTGTCCAGATCTCCACGGCAACCAGCACCACACGCGTGTTCAGCTGCTCTTTGAAGATCTGCGGAAAAGCATGACTTATATGAAAATCACAAAAATATACAGATGGTTGTCAATTTTCCATTAAAACAAAAGGCAATGCTGCAGCAATGTGGCAGTAGTAATATAAACTTACAGCATCTACAAGGTTGACCACTGATTTGGCAAAGTTCCTGGTATGCTTTTTGCTGTTATGCCTCTTAAACTGAAAACACAACAGACATACTGCATAAATCAACAGACTGCATCAAAACAAAGTAGGTTACCATTATATTTTACTACACTGTGCCTCCTAGTGGGCAAAAGCTACACTGTTAGAAATAAAGGTTCTGTGCAGGTGCCTTTCTCGTTTATCAAGGTATAAACAGTGTGAATTTACCCCACCAATAGGTACAACAGTGGTTTTAAGGTCCAATTGTGCACCTTAAATAAGTTTTTCCAGGTGAAAAGTCCATATTTGTGCCTTTTCATAATTGAATGTTTTAAAACCGAACAATAAAATAAAAAACCAACTTTACAACTTAGAAAATATCATTTCAGTGGTTCATGGTACAGTTATGTTCCCTGACTAAAGGTACTGATATGTACCTTTGAAAGTACCACCCCAGTGACAAGAGGGGTACTGACCCAGTCCCAGTTTCATACCTTTATTTCTGAGAGTGTACAAAACATAAAAAGGAGTCTGGAAAAAAAGGAGACTTTGCTATTATAAAGGTTCAAGATTCATTATTGTGCTAAAACAAAAGGAAAGCCATATCTGTGTCTTGCAACATGTTTACTCACTGTGTTGTGGTCACTGACGATCATAATTTCCAGATACTTCATTTCCTCAAATACCTTCTGTGGCACCTAACAGAGACACTTCACCATCAGTACACAGCACACACACTATCCCGCATACTTAAATTCCATCAACAGTCTAGATCTCCGCACAAAAGAGCGCGTCAGCATTTAGAGGTATTTCCATAGCAACAGACAGCGCAGGGGTCAGGGGTCTCACCGCTCGTTTCCTACGCCTCCTCAGCCAAGGCATGTCGGAGAAGATCTGCTCTTCATCCTCCTCTTCCTTCCCCTGGTCCTCGGCAGCTGAGAAAGAGAGAGATAGAGAAAGAGCTGTAACCATGGAAACCAGGGTGGAAACTATGTAATTCGCCAGGTGTCCCTACACAGTGATGAAACGGTGCTCTCTTACCCAGATCAGCGGGGTCATGGCCCATACGGAGCGATGACGTCCGGCGCAAGGTGTGAGGTCGAGACTCTGTTTCCTGTAGGTTAGAGTTCAAACTGTGCAGACTGAAATTGGTCTTTACTATGTAGATATGGAGAATCAATTTATGAGAAAGAAATGCACACAATGCCTTATTAACATCCCTATATTCAAAAATCAGGAGCACCATATAGCACATTTATAGCGAATGGATATAATTCTCTTCCCTATGTTGTAAAATCAAGAGCACTGTACAGAAGACTATGAAAGCCACAGTCACACTAGAAATTTGCAGTTTATGGTACGTGACTCATGTTGCCTTCATAACCAAGTAGGATCTGTGAAGTTTCTGACTTCCAAGTGGCAACAAACCAATTTGAACTTGTAATGCTGCTCCCACAGAACAATAAGACTTTCAAGTTTTGTTTTATGCTCAATAAGCTTTTTGTTTATGACATTAATAAACAGAGGGACAGTCTTAACTGTATGGTTGAGCCATTTGATTTACTGCACTATATTAACAGTGAATTGCCATAGTCTACATTCTCTTTTAAAATAAATGAAGAACTGAATAAACAACTCTTTCATTGAAATGTAAACACATTTTAAAAGCCTTTATATATTAAGTGCTAGCTTACTGTGATAGTTCTTTTTTATGGCAAACAGCTCAGGTTGCATAAAACGCTTTCAGTTGGAATAAGAGATCCAGAATTCAGAGCTAATTGTCATGAAGGCAGCACAAGGCTGGAGCGGAAGATTGGCAAAAAAAAACAAGAGAAATCTTCACTTTGGTTCAGTTAGAATGCTAGCTAACTTGCAAACCATTAACTGTAAAAACACAAAAGTAAACAAAGTTATTCCAGATACTACTTGCATAGTATTGCACACTGAGTTGTAATACAAATGTAGAAAACTAGAATGATTGGCAGCAGTGCGATAAATGGTGTGTTCAGCAGTGCTTAGCCAAGTAGCAAACCTAGTAGATACTAAGTGGCTATCTCGCCCACCATAAATGCACTTTTGCTTAAGAACTTGCACTGGTGAGCAGCTAGTGTGACTTGGACTTAAAGTGAAAAGAATTCACGATTGAAGAAAACAATTTTTTACTCACATGTCACAGAGTGTCCACAGTCCATATATATGAAAACTATGCTGCGGAAACAGCCCGTTTTGAATTCACTGTTTCTGTGAGGACAAACCAAATCATTTACATACATCCTCCCTTTCAACCTACAGCACTTTAGGCCCACCCATTCACGCTGAATTTATAATGAGTGTTTCAGCCTGGGACACTTTTTGAACGAATATAGTGCAGCCAATCAGAAGAGAGGTTATTTACACATATCAGTCTTAAAGGCACAGTAACAAAAACACTATTCAAGTCTAAGGGATAAAGAGCGGTTGGGAAATGGTCATGTAAAGATGACGATTATGTCATTATGACTGTTTTGGTACATAAAACTACAGGAACATACTAAGTGGACTTTGGAGGAAAAATAAAGTGCAAAAAAATGTAGGGTATGGGCTCCTAAATCTCCGCTGTGGCAGTGTTTGTCAACCACTCAGCCACAGACCACAACTGGCCTGCAAAGCACCCTCTGGTGGTCTTTTGGCCAGTACTGAGGGGGTGAGCCCTCAATGGCACTTTGTAATAAAAATCAATTAAAAAAAATCTCACTTAACATGAAACGTATCGTCGCTGTCCAACAAAAACATCCATCTCCATTTTTGTTGATTTTTATTTTTCTACATCATTCGAAAGCCCTTTACGCTGTATGAAAATTTCATGACGGATGGACCAACAGAAATGCTCCAAAATCACTTGGAAATAAAACCTCTTTATATTAACTTACATTTAAAGTTAAGAATGTTTTTTGACTTCTCCTGTAAACTCTTTGGAGATATATGTTTTTCTTTGGACAGCGACAATATAATGTTTTAAAATGGTCAACAATATTAATACATGCTCTGCAACAACGGTGCATGGAGCAGATTCAACTAATTTTTGCCATTTGCCTTTAGAAACAGGGCGGCATGGTGGCGCAGTGGGTAGCACTGTCGCCTCACAGCAAGAAAGGCCTGGGTTCAATTCCAGGCCGGGTGACCAGGGTCGTTTCTGTGTGGAGTTTGCATGTTCTCCCCGTGTCTGCATGGGTTTCCTCCAGGTACTCCGGTTTCCTCCCACAGTCCAAAAACAAGCAGTCAGGCCAATTGGACGTGCTGAATTGCCCCTAGGTGTGAATGTGTATGTCTGTCTGTCTGTCTGCCCTGCGATGGACTGGCGACCTGTCCAGGGTGTATCCTGCCTTCTGCCCAATGACAGCTGGGATAGGCTCCAGCGACCCAGAAGGATAAGCGGTTTAGATGATGGATGGATGGATGGATGCCTTTAGAAACAAAATACACTCAATCGTCCATTTTATTTGTTGTCCACTAGCAAAAAATTCTGCTTGATTTGCCACCATACAACCTGCGTTTTGCCACAAAAACAAGTTTATGTTAACCTAATTGTGTTGAAATTGCTCAAAAAAAATCATTTTTAAGCAAAAAGTTGAGTTTTGTTTTGTTGTGACAGATGTGACTCGAGATGGAAAAGGTTGAGAACCCCTGCGCTAAGGTACATCGCTTGCACACTGCTTACTGTGCTGTTACTGTGGAAGTGAACCGGAAATTCCCCACAATGTTTTCCTAAAATAGTGCGCTGTATGGTGATTAAAGCCCATTCTACATATTAGCCTGTCTGCTAATACAGTGGTCTATAAAGTGCTCCAGATTTTCCAATATAAGGAACAGTGATTAGGTGATCACTAGGTAGAATTTTACCGTGGAGTGAGTCTGGTTTAAGGGCTCGATGAGATAAACAAACACCCCATCGTCGAACATTCCACTGTTAGAAGAGAACGGTGGAAAGCAGAACAGACAAGATATAAAAGGTCAGCAAAAGCAGGAATTATTTTGCCTGGTAAATACAAAAAAATACAGCGACTGCTATCATAGTACGTATATGCCTGCCTGCTCTCTCGTCCTGCCTCTCTCTGTGATACACTGCCACACACTAACATGATGACATTCAAACCCTTTCATGCACTCCACCTGCCATCTGGCCTCACAGTGGGTCTCCAAACGCACACTCAGTCACACAAACACAGGCAGGCATGGACCCTCACACACACATGCACACAAACAAACATGAAGGATCAAGAGTATGTCTTACCGAAGCCCACTGCAAGTTGACAGAGCCACTCGAGAGGCTTCGTTCCCTCTCACTCTACCATGGTAGTAGCAGTGCTCCCCTCCCTAAACGTATGAACACACATAATATGTATTATAACATTTTCTTCTGAGGGGTTTTGTTAATGGGTATATGTGTCTTACCTTCGACAGGACTGGTTTATCTTTCTCATAGTGGATCTCCACGTAGTCTGAAGACAGCAGATCGCTACAAAATAGGACAATTATTGAGATAATATAGAGTACAGCGCGAAAGTCAGAGACCACCTTTTCATTTATTTCATTTCCTGTCCAAGCTGCCATTCAGTAATTGTTATTCATTTTCCAGCATTAATAAAAAGTAAAAAAACATTTATACAACAGAAAATTACACAGGAGCCTCAAAAACTAAAGATAATATCTATATATTTTTCTTCTGTTTTTGTGTGTCCTCCATTCTTTTCAGGAGATGTGATTACGTTTTTTCAAAGAAACCTGCGGGGATATTTTTTCACACCTACAAAGTTCAGTCTTCGAAGTTGGTTGCACTTTTTGCTTCTCACAATCCAAGTTAATCCAAACACATTCAGTCATGTTGAGGTCTGGGCTCTGGGGTGGTCAGTGCATTGTTCTGAGAAAACCAGCAGCTTCTTTGCTTGATTTGCAAATTTTCTTCCTCTCAACCGGTAGCACTGGATTGTCTTATCACAGTGGAAGGATGGGCAAAAATACATGTGGATGTTTTCAGATCTGAAGCAAGAGTTTTCTCCTTTGTCTCAAAGATGAAAGCTTTAAGTGCTGTTTATCTGATGGGGACAGTTTTTGGTGTCTACCAGGACTTGCGTGGTTGTTATGAGGCACATGTTCTCTGTAATCTTTTCATCTTTTTTGAACTCCAGGTTTGGAAAGTCATGTTGTTTTCTTTCTAATTCTTTATGCAAATGGATTACCTTACATCTTCTCAAAAATATCTCCTGAAAACGAATAACTTATACTTACGGCATTTTTAAAACAGTAAACAAATGCAAAGTAAATAAATAAATAATGTCTTTGACTATTGCACAGTACTGCGCATCAACAATAAATCATAAAAACAGCCATTCTCAAGGCATGCTAAAAGGAATAATCAAGTATATTTCAACTGTGTACACAGACAATAATTACAATTAAGCGTGTTAACTCAGCACCTGCCCACTGACATCTGTTATGTTTGTTGCAAGACAACAATCAACATTATAATACAGATGCATCAGACAGATAGTAGGTTGAAAAAGTGGGAGAAACACCTTTAAATCCTCTTTGACACTTGACTAAACTATAACTGCTGCCCACACTACTGCAGGTTGCAAAACTATCTATTTCAGTGCTTAGATTTCATATAAGAAACCTCAGACATTGCAATGAGTCAGTGCTATTCAGACACACACCCACTCACCACCCACAAACACACACACACACACACACACTCCAGCAGCAGACACACACTGAGACACTCTGAATCCTAAAACATCCAGTTTGTTCCCAAACATTTGGTGTCCTAAGTGTTTACTGGTAAGACACACCGGCCAGTATAAAGTACTGTGCAAATGTCAGAGACCCTTTATTTATTTAAAATCCAATAAAAATGGCAAGTAGGCACAAGATCTTCATTTTTTCAGGAGATTAGATTCTGATGACATTTGATTTAAGATAGGCCACTAGGAGAAAATAAGAGAAAACAACAGGACTTTCCAGACCTGGAGTTTTGAAAAATGATTAAAAAGTATAGATAAAATGGGTGCCCTGTGATGGACTGGCGACCCTGTCCAGGGTGTATCCTGCCTTCCGCCCAATGACAGCTGGGATAGGCTCCAGCACCCCACCATGACCCAGAAGGATAAGCGGTTTAGATGATGGATGGATGGATAAAATGGGACTCCTAATAGCTGTGCACTCCTAATAGCTGCGCAAGACTTGGCAGACCTGGTAGAAGTTAAAGCAGTGAGAAGCAGAAAATGTAACCACCTTCTAAGACTAAATTTTGGAGGTGTGGAAAAATATCCCTGCAGATTTCTTGGCAAAAACCGAAAGCAAGTCTCCTAAAAAGAATGGAAGCTGGAAAGGGCCGACAAACCAAATCCTGTACAAAATTTGATGTTATATTTATTTGCTGAAGCGTCTGTGTAATGTTTTGTTAAATATATGTTTTTATGTTCTTTCCAGATGCTAAAAAAAATGAATAACTTGTACTTAATGACTGTTTTGACAGGAAATTAAATAAATGTATAAATGTAGGGTGGTCTCTGACTTTTTCCACAGTACTGTATGTTGTTCTAAAAGCATCTCCTCTGAGAAAGTGATATATTGCTGCTGTCGGAAGAAAACCTTGTATCTTCATTTTTCAGTTTTTGACATAATTTGAAAATGTATCTTGCCCTTTATATTGTGTGTAACTTTCATGATGAGTGGACCAAAAGAAATGGCCCAAAATGACTTGGAAAAAAGTCTGGTTCCATTGACTTACATTAAAAGTAAAGCATGTTTTTTTCCTTCTCCTGTAAAGTTACCATTTTGGAGATATGAGGTTTTCTTTCGACGACAGTGATATGCTTACCCATCCATAATACTGTGTATAATTTCTGCCATGCTGCACAATATGAGCATCCTCCCACGGCCTTGAATCACATGCGTATACTCAATCCTGCAGAATTCGCCCTCCCCTACAAACGCTCACACAAATAAACACACACATCCCTACACCTACTTGTTTAGTGTGAGATCCAGAGTGAAAGTGGAACCGAAGGCATCCAGCTGGAAGCTCACCTCGGCTAAGTGAACGGCCTACGGGAGTCAGACAAACAAGGATGTTCTGAGACTGAGACACATACAGAACCGGATAGAAAAATCTAAACCCATACTCAAGGATAGTATTATTTCTTTAATGTAATAAAGACTCAAATACTAGTAGAAGTAACCTAACTGAAAAAGAGTCAAGTACTTAAGTCCTCAGTTTACTACAGAATTGCAATGGAACTTTGTAAGTACATCCAACATCAGCACTAGTTTCAGGGAACTGAAACAACCATGCGAAAGTAAACCCAAACTTAGGCACCAAATACAATTGGTTAAACTGGAACTGAGTAAAAAGTAGCTTATTTCCAAACAAATACACTTGATTAGAAATCCATCAATTAAAATGTTATTTAAAGGGGAATTTCATCAAAATTCCATCAGGAAAATTTCTGCATTATTAAATGGTTATGTGGGAAACAAAGGCATCTGAAATGCTCCACTCTAGAGAAACTTTCTGAGTAAAACTGTTCACAGTGGTGGTGATAGGAACCAGACGACTGAAGCGTTTAATGCATCCAAACAGTTATTACATGAAATGGTTACAAATACATTGTTTAATGCCTGAGATGCTGTTTTACCAGCTTTTGGCCTCCATTTACTGGTTAAAAAGCATAATTTTTTAATCAATAAATGGAGGAGAGGTACATGCAGGACATGCAGGAGATACAAAGAAAAGGTATTTTGGTCAGATTTGCCATTGTTTAATCATTATCAACATTACATATAAAAACTCTGAAGATGTGTACCATTACTGGTCATTTTAGATGGTAAATAAAATGGGCACTTGGGTCCCCAAGTTCTCCACTCCTGATTCCTCTCACCATCATTGCAACAAAATCAGTTTCTTAACAATGCATCATTTCTCATTAAACCTGAATTACCTTGTTTACATCTCAATTTATATGCTGAAATTTGGAAAAGTCAGTCAGGAATTCCCCTTTAAAACCCAAATAACAGAATTAGGAACTAAATATGAATGGCTACACTGGAGTAAAAAGTAAATTATGTTCCTCACAAATATTGCATATAATTAGAAATACTCTAATTTGAAAACATTCTATTGCAATGTTATGCAGGTACATGTAACTGCGTGAGTACAACTAGTTATTACCCACCTCTAGGCACACAGGACATTGGCCTTGACATGAATAACAATGCACCAACACATTGCAGGGATGTATGCACAAAAAGATGGTGTTTAAAAATAGCCACCATAACACACAATCCCCACACAAAATCTACATGAATCAACATAATAACTTTTCCTTTGGGAGCAGAAAAGAATACCTCAAATTACACAGGAGTGCTGTTTTAGCCTGAAATGCTGCATTGGCAGCATGAGGCAGGAGGTGTGCACTGCAAGCAAACCCCCAACCTCTGTCCCTGCTGGGGGGAAAGTGCTACTTTTGCGAAAAAGGATGTTGGGGTTGAAGGGAAGGGGGGGTAGTGGACCATGTTCAGCTCCGTGCACTGGGCCCGATGATGTACACAATGCACCATTCTCAGCAGCTGCTGAGGAAGAGGGAGGGAGGAAGGGGGAGCACTTGCAGCTTTTTTTTGCCTCACTACAATAAAGTGCTCAACCAGCATTCCATCACACACACACACACACACACAAACACACACACATATAACACTCACCAAAACAGGGGCCGGCATTGCATACCGCCCTCTGCTCCTGGGCACATCATTTCACATTTTGGCAACTGAAAATGCAGAGCCTGTAGCCCGAGTGGCCACTTGCGTTTGAGACTTTCTTTTTCCTTTTTAACAAACCTGTTTGGTCATATTTTGTTGCAATTTGTTAACTGCAACCACAGCAATAGCTAAACTCTTTTGGCCAGGCACTAATCTGTGTCAGACTTTGCTGCAGTTTGTTTACTGTAACAACCGCAGTAGCTAAAGTTGTGTGGTGAATATGGTGGTCACTCAAAAAGCAGCCGTGGCTGAAACACTTCTTATAACTTCATTTTGAATGGGTGGGGCTAAGCTGCTGTCGCGAAAGTGGATAGACATCAATGCACTGGTTTTAGTGACATCACAAAACCGCAGAATTTTAAATGGGCTGTTTTTGTAGCTTATTTTCCATATATGGCCTGTATGGACTGGGAAGTGTTGAAACTTTAACAGTGTTTATTTACTACATCAAACTCTTTTATTTCAAAAGAGAGAAATAGTCAGTTTTCCATGATATGGGCCATTTTAATTAAACGAGGTGTTAAATAACCTGGCGTTGAGAGCCTTTCCCCACAGTAAATATACAGATTCCTGCATCAGGATGGACCAGACTGGCAGGAGGGACCACCACAGTCACCACAGAGCCTATGTTCGTTTTAATGTAAAGTTATAAACACAATGTATATACAATGAACCTGTTTCTATTATTCTGGTCACATGTGCACACATTCCTACACTAACCCTCACTAACTCTCACACACTGACAATCACTCACTCTCTCGGCCGCCCCCAGCAGCGCCCACCTCACCTGGCCATCGGCCTGGTTGCGCGCGCGAGTGTCCAAGTCGTGGTGCGCGCTCTCCGCCTCCTCGTTCACATAGTAGATGAGGCGTGATGGGTAAGTGATGGCCACCTCGTGCCCGTGCTCGCGCCGCGTCCTGCCGGCATCGCGCTCCCTCGGCTCCTCCTCATTCTGCGCGCGGGGGGACACTGCAGGGACACGAGGCGGCACCGACATACACCGTTAACTCTCGGACAGGAAGCCCGTCAATTATACATGAAGGGGAGAGAGAGAGAGAGAGAGAGAGAGAGAGAGAGAGAGAGAGAGAGGGGAAGAAGCGCTGCTAGCAAGAGCGCACAGTAAATCACAGGCACTGACCCCTCAAATGCATAAAAACCCAAATCCAAAACCCTCTTGCAAAGCAACTGACCGGTCCAAACAGCAATGCAAATGATCCCCCAGCTCCTGCACTGGTTGCTGCAACACATGCATGTTTAAAGCAGCAGCCTCTGATAATCAAATTAGGATGCACTTTGGCTCGTGCAGGCGCAGGGATCCCGGATGCCCCCCTCATTCGACTCGGCCTGCTACAACACTCAGCCTGGCTGCACATAAACACAACCAAACAGTGGAGTCTTTCTCAATCTAGACCCTCGATGATGCACGTCTGCGTCTGATCGTCAGGATATGGGGGGTATCCCCCCCGCCCGAGGGGCGCACACACACAAGCCGTGAGGAATAACAGAGTCGTGTCGTTACGAAAGGCGGACAGGTGGCGTCTACGTACCCGTTGATGCTGAGGAAAACGAATGCAGCAGGGCTATCAGGATGCTAGCGAGCAGTCTCGGCTGGAGCATCAGACGCATGATTCATATTTGAAGGCTGGAAAAAGAGAGGACGTTAGCGCGTCAGGCTACGACGAGCGTCCCGGCCCATTGTTGCAAAAGAGGTTGAATCGTTGGCGCGTCCCGCGGGAAGAGAGACGGGCTGGGCTGGGTTGGGAGAGGGGGGGAAATCCTGCCTGCAGCATCGGCGATGGAAGGGGCTGGCTGGGGAGCGAGGATGACAGGCGGAGGGGTGGGGAGCACGGCTGAGCGAAGGTGGGATGGTCGTACGGGGTAGAAGGCGGTGGCCGAGCATCCCACATAGCGGGCGAAGCCACTGCGGCTGCGCACTGCATCCGTTGACGTGCGAGCCGAGTTGCGCACGAGCGCGCGCGCTCTCCTCGCTAAAACACATTCTCATGTTTCGACCCCAGGCAGAGAGGTGAAAGGCTATTTGTCACATTCATGCCTGTGAGCTCAGGCACGCTTTCAGGTTCGTACGATTTAGCCGTTTCTGGGCTAAGCTGCAGATCAAAGCACCGCAGTTGTTGCCTCGAAGGTTTTGGGGGTTCACAGAGCTCTTATTCTTCGAGATCTCCATGACCGCCAGGCATCATTAAAGCGGTTATTTGCGGTGGGATAAGCACGAGGCATGGGGGCAAAGCCATCCCTGCTGGATGGACATGCAAGTGAGATTCTTAGTATGATGGTCTCAAGGGACCAACGAACCATGGAATGGCCCACTTGGAGGGAGGGAGGGAGGGAGGAGAGAGAGACGTTCAGAGAAGTGATGGAAAACATGCAAGGCAATGCAAGTTTTATATAATCAATAAAAACTTTAATGTCCAGTAATTATTAAATATTTAAACATTTTGACAAAAATATTTCTTAAAAACTTAAAAAAAACTTTTTCTTAAAAAAAAATATTCCCATGAACCATAAAAATGAATGATATGACTAACAAACAAGAAATACAGACACAAAATTAACTAGAAATCCAACTGTGCAAAATTATACAGCATCTGACAGACACACCAGCTGCTCGCCTACATGTCTGCCCCTCATATGCAAAAGAGCCTAGGCTAAAATGGTGCCTTCTAGTTTAAAGGGGAACTCCTCTGATTCATCAAAACATCTCCATAATTCAGTGGTTGATGTTCAAGCATATGGTTGATATTTCATTCATAGTGGCTTGATGTGAAATGCTGCAGTGTAGAGAAATTTGCTGACTCTGATTTCTGTACAGTGGTAGGGAGAGGAACCAGGGGCTGCAATGTCTATAACGCAAATATAGCCATTTTATTTCCCATCTAAAGCAAGCAGTGAAAATACACGTGAGTTTCTATAGCAATCCTGTCAAAAGAAAAACGTGTACCTCCAAAATTATGAAAAAACATTCTTAACTTATAATGGAAGTTAACTTAAAAATATATTTTTCAGAATAATTTTGGACTACTTCTATCGGTCCATTCATTATGAAACTTTCACACAGCATAAAGGGCAGCTGACGGGGCGGAAGGTTAGGGAACCTGCCTTGTGACCAGAAGGTCGCTGGTTCGATTCCCTGAGCTAACAGGACATGACTGAAGTGCCCTTGAGCAAGGCAACTAACCCCCAACTGCTCCCCAGGCGCTGTGGGTAGGGCTGTCCACCACTCCGAGCAAGTGTGCTCACTGCCCCCTAGTGTGTGTGGGGTTAAATGCGCAGGTGAATTTCCTCATTGTGGGATCAATAAAGGATAACTTATTTTTCAATGTGTTTAGGAAAAAAAAACCCACAACAAAAATGTAGATACAAGGTTTTGTCCCCACATTGACAATGATGATGCTTAAATAGCCGTAAATCGGAAAAAAAAATAGTTTAATTACCTATTATTTTGCCTCACTATGCCCTGCATGTACCTCTCCACCATGAATGGATTTTACAAATTTGTTTTAGGCCAAAACCTAATCATAAACACTGTGTCTTGGCAATTTACTTGTAACCATTTAATGTGATATCTTTCTGTGAGGTAGCTTTTCAAGCCATTAAATGCTTCAAGAGTCTAGTTCATATCATCACCACTCTGAGCAATTCAAAACTGTAGTTTTACTTGAATGGAGCATTTTTCATCAAACCACCTTGACTTTGTTTACAACTTTTAATTGTGTTTATGTAGACATTTTGAAAAATCACTTGAATTCCCCTTTAATTCTCTCTATACACCATGGCCATTCTCCTGCAGACTTTGTCCTATAGGGTGCTATAGGGATTCAGTCTGTGTTTTAGTTGGGGGTCCGGGTGGGGGTTACGTAGCCAGTTTAGAAGAGGCTGACGATCTGGGTGAAGCCCTGGTTGAATTCTTGTTTCGGGGAGACACTCTGCCTCCCGCAGCTACACGGGTGCTGACCCTCCGCTGGAGAGGGCTCCTAGACTTTGCCCTAGACCTGGCTTTTACAGACCTCCTCTTAGTTCTGTAAGGGGGTGATGACGGCTTCTTTGCGGGAGTCAGGGGTTTCTCTTTGACTCCCTGCCTCTGAGACCGACGCCTGACTGGTGCATGGTCCACCTGTGCCTGGTCTTCGTTCACGTTGGCCCCTGCAACCTTGAGGGAACCATCAGCATGAGAAGGAGCCTGTGTTCTAGAGGAGCTGTCTGTGTGAGAGGCAGAGGGCATGAGATGGCTCAGGAGGAAACGACTGCTGCTGGAAATCGAGGACCGGCTGAACAAGGCCCTTCGGCTGCTAGACATGGAAGAGTCAGGTTCTGATGGGCCGCCGCTATCCAGGCAAGAACCAGAGGTAGAAGCACAAAGATCTGCCATGCTACCGTCACCACGGCCCTTTCTAGAGCCTCTGGGTGACCGACCCCGTGCTGAAGTGTAGCGCTCCTTGTTGATGTCTGGACTGAGGCTGCGAAATAATTGTCGTACATGGGAGAGGGATTTAGTACTTGCCGTTGAGGACATCCCTTTAGGTGGAGTTTTGAGGATTCTGTTTGTCAGGGGATCATAATATTTGAGAGGGGTCTTCTTGTACTTGTATTTAAGTGCACATTCCTCGTCACATGACTTCCGTTTTCTTCCCATTCTTTTAACTGGAGTGGGCTTGAAGTACCCTGTCCTCCATCTGGGGAAGAAAGAACATAAACTACTGTTTTGGGTTGAAGAGGAGTCATAATCCTGCAGTAAGATGCAGGAAGCTTGAGTGCACACAGTCTCGTCTTCATATCCGGGGTCCTCTCAGGGCTTGGTTCCTTCTGAGTCACAGGGTCACTGAGAAAGGTGCCAACTTCAGGTAATGTTTTTCTCCGCACCACAGGGCAGATTGGGGATGTAGTTTGTGTACCATGGCTCACTTTTACCACTTGGCAGCGTGACGCCATCCGGTATACACGTCGCCTTGTCTTCTTGAACACAGGTGGGGGTTCTGGGTCCTCCTCATGGTGCTCAATAAGAGGTATAACATCTTGGCAATCAGCATCATCAGGCTTTTTCTCCTGATTTCTGTTCTTTTTCCTTTTCCTGCAATGCTTCCCAAAAGCTGCCAGGGATTCACTGTCAAAATAACTACGGAAGTGACCCTGTCTGAACTCTTGCACCATGCAATCTATCTTCAAGTCATCCTCAAACATCACCTGTGCCCATGTCTTTCCCACAAAAGACTGTGGTACGTGAGGAAGATCTGGAATGATCTCCTCTACTTTGTTCTCTTTGGTTTCCCCAGGCTCTGTTTGGCCACTTTCTAACACAGTGTTCAGGGCTGTGTCCAGCTGGGTTTTGTACCCTTGGTCCTCAAGGTTTACATGCACCTCCATAAGGCATGCCAGATGTTTGTCCTCAGCTGTGGTTTTCTCCATTGCTACCTGCAAGGTATTGTCCCATTCTTCACTGTCCTTGGACTCACTTAATGACTGCAAGCTGAGGTGAAAACTGCTCTCTTCCTCTTGCTGATTAGGTCTGGGACTACGATAATAGCAGTACCTCTCAATAACCTCTTCTATCACCTCTCGTATCTGGTCTGATTGCTCACTAAATGTCTGTTCCCTATGTGGACCCTTCCAGGGTGGTAGCACTGCGGTCCATAATACAGACTCCTCAATTGTTGTCCGTGAGGGATCAAGCTGTCCTTTTGAGGTAATGCACTTTGTGGCTGGTGAAGCATGAGAACCTGGGCTGGAATCACTCCTCTCTCTATGCCTATTAGTTTTCCTGTGCGCTTTCCTGTGCTGAAACTGTGGGGATCCTGGCTGGGTGTGAAGAAGAGGTTTTGAGCTACATTGTTGTCTAGATGGTTCAGTCTGGGGACTCTCTGGTTTAACTGTTTGTGCCAAGTGTGATGATGTATGTGGTTTGTCTGTGGCAGACTTGCCACTAGTCCTATGCAAAAATCCCTGTGTGGGGGAAAACTTTTCAGGGACTGGGGGTTCCATCCTTGTTTTCCTTGTTTCAAGACCAGTTTGTGCGCTCGTTCCTGCTCCACTGCCCAAAGGTAAAGAAGTGCCTGCTTGATGCTGACTCTGATTCCTGGATGTGGTTGTGGCTTCAGCTTGCACCATTTGACAGGATTCTTCGTCAGAGCTGGGCATCTCCTCTCGGGTCCCAACAGACGCCCCATCATCCTCTGACCCACAGCACACCTCTGACAACACTTCCCTTGGGACTGGTAATGTGCTCAGGCAAGGCAAGTCATCATGGGTAGGCCTAAAAAGACAGAAACATTGAAAAGGGAAAGAAGTAATTTGGAAAAGTTAAATAGGAATTTATTTATACTATTTATAAAACACTAGCCAAAACTTACATAACATAAAAAACTAAAACCCTAGAATTTACTTATTATCGTAAGTTAAAAAATGAAAAATTAAACAATTAAAAACCCAAAGTGTCAGCTTCACAGGGCGCTCGTTATAATCTGCAAAATAATCTGAGATTTTAAGCAATTGTGACTTCATGGTACAAAACATACCGTGTGTCATTGTAATGATGGGGATGGTGTTGAAGCACATCCTGGAGGAATCTCTCCATCAGGCTTCCAGAGGACACATTTGCCCTTGCAGCCCGCACCACCTCCCTGTGCCTAGCGCTCAGGATGTGCTACAGAAAGCCACAAAACAGTAAATTATGAAGAAAAAAACAACTCCACTGAATTTTAGCAAAATACACCACTCAAAATCAATGATTTAGATAAGGAAAAAAAGTCCCTCTAAATGATAATGCGTAATACCAAACACAGAAGAATACACTACATGCCATACATATCTAAATTACACATGCTTTTTAACAGGGATGACTTATCCACAGGTTTTCATTCCTATCAAGCAAGAACACATTTGATTCCACTTGATTGATTGGTCTCAGTCTTCAAACAGTTGGAAAGTTATGAGATGTGCTCCTGTTTGGCTGGAAGGAAAACATGCAGGCACACCAGCCCTTTTGATGTCCCCTGCTTTAGACAATATCACCAGTTTCTCTGTTCATTTTCTATTCTAAACCTGGACTGCAACCGTTCCTTTAATATAAAGATAAAATCAGATATTACTCTATTCCTTTTTCATGTTTACTTTTAATACATTAGAGGGTCACACATGCTTAAAAGAGGGGTTTAATTAAAATGTCAAAACACATTCAATGCATATTTAGCTCTGGTCAGGAACAGTATTACGCAACAGACAAAAAAATGGATGCTCCTAATGAAAAAAGTAGCTATGTACCTGTTCCACACTGTTATAGAGGACCTGACAGCAGCTGCAGAAGCCCTGCCGCTGAGGTGTGTTTGAGGGACCAGCAACTGGCTGTTCCCCCCTGCTGGTCCTACATTGTAAAGAAAACACAAACACCAAATCATGAACGGCATAATTCCCAAGTCTAGCACTATAAAATAGCACATTGCATTATTGTTACAATATGCCATGATTTGGTCATAAATGGAAAACATATTTTATATTCGCTAGTCTAAACAAATCCCTACAGCTTATCAAAATTCTCATAGCACATGTTGGTGACTTGTGTTTTCCATTCCTTATTTGCAAGAAACACTTCCAGCCTCGTTAACAACAATAACAAAGGAACAAAAAGAGGAATAATAATAACAGCATTTTTCCTGACAAGCTACCAATTTGCTTGTTTTGGAGATTTAGCCAGGTGCTAAAGTAATAAGCAATTTCTCTAGTAAGTCTGTAGGTATTTACAAAATGCTACTTTTAAAACTCATAATAATTATTATTAATTGAAAAATAATAACATTCAAGAGAATTTATTAATCTGCTGCCAACGGCATCAATAAAAACATGTGTGCCTGCTCCATTGGCAGCATGCATGCCCATGCATTCTGGTGCTCCTGGCCCAAAGACAAATGCCAACCGGAAATAATAATAATAATAATAATAATAAACAACAATAATAACAATAATAATAACAACAATGTTACACTTATATAGCGCCTTTCACAATCCCAAAGATTTACCTGAATTACTATCTTCTTTTAATAACTGTATTTTTCTTTATCCTTATTTAACCACTCGAAATTAAAACTCACCTGTTGGCCATGTCCCTTTGCTCCCTATCTGCATCTACAAAAAATTATATGATAAATATGAAGTGAGCGTCACTTACGCATCCAAAATCTCAAAAGAATAGTCAAATGAATGTCCACAAGACAACACTTTTAAGTGTAAAAGACTTAAATAAACAGTCGGAAGTCAACTTAATACATACTTTTAGCAGTGGATACAGGTCTCTCCTCCAGAGGCATAGTACTGTCTGTAAAGAGACGGATGAGTAGTAAACATTTTCATCCACATTACTGTTCGTGTGCGACACAACTTCAAACATCCCGATGGAAAAAACTGGAGAAGAACACAGTTTAGAGTTTACTCACCTGCCAGGAGGAGAGAGGGGATGCAGATCACAGGCTGGCAGATCACATCACTGCATATGGACTCTCACATACCCACGGTGGAGAACTTAGGAGCCGCATCTGGAAAAAATAGTGTGGAAATGTCACGTTTGCCCATTCACTCACATCGGCCAAAGGCCTGACGCCCTGGGCTTAATTCTTGGACTCACGGTATTACTCAAACATAAAAGTAAATACTTAGCCAACCAACACGAGGCTAACACTGGCTTCCTCCCCGTCGGCTTCTTGTTAGAATTTTCCCGTTCCCCCTTAAACGGTGCATCGTTTAAGGTGGAACGGGAAGATTCGTTTAACCAATAGCGGTTACCCAAGTTACCATAGTTCGCATGCTTAGCAGCATAACTACTAGCTTAACATGTATGGTCGAGTATAAACACTGGTAACAGTATCGCTCAAGTTAAGACACCGTTTACACGACTGGCTGGAGTTAGCTAGCTTAGCTAGTTAGCCAGCCAGCTAACCTTGGCCTGCAAGCACGTCCAACTCACGGCTCACAGTGAGCTACAAACTCATCCGAACGGTGACCATAACTAAGTCATATCGTGTTTTATCTTTCCCGAGTACTTTAGAACCGACACGGCGTTTATGAGCAGCGAACAGGCACTTAAGTGTTCAAGCTAACTTACACTGCTAGCTAACCTAGCAGCTAGCATTGCAACGACAGGCCTGGATATTTATTCGTTTGTGGAACCACTGTGCGTCCGAAATGGCGAGTGACCGCAGATGAGATTCGTTTTCAACTATATCTGTATATTCGTTACATATGGACGTTGACAAACTGCGGTCTTTGAGTTTTTTCACCTGACTGAAAACGTTTCTCCATTCAGATCCCATCGGCACCCGTATCTGGCGCAGGGCTTCTCCGCGTGACGTCACAGGAAAGCGCGGGAACCCGCCCTCTTTCAGAAAACTTATTTTCTACAATGACAGCGTGAAAATGACCCAAATTGAATAAAGTGCAGCCTTTGGAGAAAGAAAACGTCTCAAAAGCGAATAACTATTCACAGGTCGTTCCCTCTCCTCATTTCTGACTCATCCATTTTCAGCCGGTCATTTCCCCCTCATCACTCACACCCCCAATGAAAACCCAACACCACAAATGAATTTAAGTGCCATTTTATTGTGTAATGCTTTTAATGATGTTTCAGATCTTGTTGAAGGCAGCCACGTCGACAGACTGTACATAATCCTCGAAGGCAGTGATCAGCTCCTCCAGCTGATCGGTTCCCACCTTGTCGTCTTCTACCACGCATGCAATCTGCAGCTTCTTGATGCCGTAGCCAACAGGTACCAGCTTGGCTATAAAAGGAGGGAGAAAGCACAAATTGTTTACCTGAACAGTCAAACTGTGGTATCCAGTGCTGTTTGGCTTTTTAAAAAAAAGATCTAAAAATGTTGTTTAAAGTGGGGGGGGGATAAATAAAGAAAAAAATAAAAGCACACTTACACTGGCCCCAAACCAGGCCGTCCAGTTCAACGCTGCGCACACACTCCTCAAGCTTGGCCATGTCCGTTTCATCGTCCCAGGGCTTGACGTCCAAAAGAATGGAGGATTTGGCGATAAGGGCGGGCTCTAAAGGGGCATTTTAAAGTGAGAATTAGGAGCGGCCACAAGAAGCAGAAATGCAGCCAGGTAGCAGAATAGCTAGCGTTTCAGGTGTAAGAAGTTGTCCATCCCAAATATCAGCCGAAAGATGGTGATAAGATCATCATTACACTAGCTAAAAGATTTAACACTGGGTGGGGGAAAAACCCTTAAATCTCACTTTCACTTAGTTTCGTTGCACCCGATTCAGGGAACTTTGTCAATGTTCCAGCATTTCCTTTGTTTACATGGTCGGCATTTGTGCATTAGTTGCCCATCAGAATGCTGGGCTATCTAAAATGGCCAAACTGAATCAGAGCAGACTAAAAAAAGTGAAAGCTTAAGAGATTCAGGGTGGCTTTTAACTGAGCCATGATGGGCAGAAGACATACATACTTTTAGACTTCTTTGCGTTGTATGCTGCTAGCCTCTCCTCCTTGATCCTCTTTGTCTCTTCATCCTAAGGCAGCAGGGAAAAGATGTACAGGATGAGATGGTGAAATAAAAACTTAACACACTCCTTTACACAAAGTCTGGCCATCAGGGAAGAAAACTGTCCATCACAACATCAGCTGAAAGATGGTGAAAAAAAAAATAATAAAAAAAAAATCATGCAACCAGTATGAACATATTGTAACGTAAACAAACCAACCTCCTCCTCATCAGAGCCAAACAGATCAATGTCATCATCCTCTTCATCATCATTAGCAGGAGGGGCACCACTAGTTGTGTCCTCCACACCAGCAGGTCCATACTGACCCAATGGCTTCTTCACTCCTGGGAGGCTAGAAGTTGTGAGAAGAGGTAGAGTAAGTTCTACGTACATGCATCCACACAATCATGCGTTCACTATCGCTCAAGTGCATCAGGGTTTAAAAGATTGTGCATCATCTATTCAGCCGAAAGATGGTGATGTGACTCATCATGCACTGAGGATTATGGGATTTTGTTAGTTAAGCAGTGATGCCCATGGTTACCTGCCCCTCTCCTTCTGGTAAGACTTGATGTGGTTGTACCAGCGAAGGGCATGGCACAGGTCAGCTGGGGGGGCTCCAGAGAGGGCATCAAACACAGCAACATCAGCCTGGGATGGCACATACCTGTGAAACAATATACAATCAGGATACAGACAGGTACAGTCACATTTCTTCCAAGAGAGTCATACATATGTAGTTAAAATGGATCTATGTAGTCATAACTGCCATAAAAGTACACAGAAAGAACTACATGAATAAAGAAAGCTCTGTAGCTCCAGAGTTTGATACCATACTTGCATACAAAGCCTTCCAAACTAAAAGAAGCACAAAGTGAGTGGTTGGCCAACTTTATACAGAAGCCAAGGTAGGGCTGAATGCTCAGAATAGATATCTTCCCCAATTCAAATGTTAAAATTAGGTTTTAAACTGCTATTATTAGAAGTCAAGCTTCTGTTTTTTTTGCCAGGACCACCAGAACATCCACCTTTCTGGCTAGAGGGGGACCCCTGAACGCAGTGTGCCCAAGCAAGCTGTGGCTGTGATGTCACCACACCGGTAGATTTGGTTGCCTCTGATTGGTCTAACTTGTCTAAAGGCATTTAACAAGCTGTTTTATTATATTCAAATCCCGCACTTTAATCGTAAAATAATCCTTTGATAATGTAGGCTATAATTAATATTGCAGCTCGTGTGACAAACTGCACTCTTATATTGCGATTTTGACAAAATCTTTCAGCACTAGGCCAAGAGTCCTCAGAATAAGTACGAATACACTGAGCTAAAGACAAAGGGATCAATACATTACAAAACTGCCTCCACCGACCTTTTTAATAAGCTATTTTGAGAAACCGTGACCCACTTTAACCAACATCAGAGCCCGGCGCATGCAACCAAATGCAAACTGACTTAGGTTAGCTAGTTAAATATGAATCAAATGCGGTTATAACCCGCTTTAATATGACTCACCCCTCGATGTAGCTCTTGTCCGCCAAAAAGTCGTTGAGGACTTTAAGTCCAGCAGGGGTTTTCAGATCACCGAAGCCCATTGTGAAAACGGTTGTGAAGACCTCGTGTACAGACGTCGGCGCCTTGACGTGGAGGAAGAGCGAAGGAGCGAGAAAGAGCCACGGAAATGCTTTTATAACGCTGACGCACTGACTCCTCCTCTTTCTGCCTCAGTTTTACTTCAGCTAACAAAATGCCAAACACTTCTAAAGTACACGAGAAAGCATGCAACACTGAAATAAACAGTTTAATGCCTCTAGCGCAAATTATTTCCCTTTTACTTCTATTAAAACCACTTAAAAGCCACATGGCGTGAAGACACTGGAAATATAGTTACAGAGCTGAGATAAATAATTATGCTTGAGCTAGAATGAATGATGAAGTAACACTGAGAAATAAAGGCTAAATTAACGCCTCGTTTTTACTCTCAAATCAAAATAAGTACACATTTTTTTAAATCTAGAACCGCGGACGAGCAACGGAAGTGACGTGACGATAGGTCAAAACTGAAGCGTAACATTAAACATTTTAACTAATATTTATTTTTAAACTAGAACTGCAGCCAACACAATAAAATCATTCACATTATTTACAATTATCGTATTTTTTTTTATTTATTTGTTTTATTTCTTTTTTCACACGTCGTAGTGAATCGGCTATTTCCGTCACCATGGCCGAAATTCTCCGAAAGCGCATTCGTAACTGAATGCACTGACTACGGTTCCGCTGTTCTGGTCTAGAAGGCCAAATAGCGTTAAGGTAAGAAATAAGATTGGTTTTTCCTGCTGTTGTTGGTTTCCAGTTGTTTATGGTTGAGCACGGTGTCTAACTGAAAAAGTAAATGAATGCTTATTTAATTCACACGAATTGGTAAACAGAGAAACGTTCTCTCTGTCCTTGATTTGACCAGCAGTGTAGCTTGTTAGCTAGCTATGCTATGCTAAGTGCACTGTAACACACTGTTCAAGACGTCAACACGCTGAGATTTGCAGAGGTGCAGTGGTCATTACTAATGTTTATGCAGGAGTTTCCATGTCCAGAATGTTTTTCATTAAATTCATAATGTTTATAAGTTGTTGTTATGCATACGTTGTGATAAAATGTCTGACTTCGTCGCTGTCTCGTTCATTGAGAACAGCAACTTAGCTTAACAGCTTGCTACATTAAAAAGTGCTCTCTGGACAGTAACGTTATGTGCGATACTGGTCAGATTTTCTTGTGTAGCGTTACATCTGGGCACTTTATCACACAACTTATTTATAGCACCAAGTATGTGTCTCCAGCTGTTCTGGACAGTATACCCAGAACAACAGCCCGTGACTTAACCTACATGTTTAGTGTACTGATATTTGTATGCTGTTTTCTTCTACAGAGTCATGTTGCGTTTGCCAGCGGTTGGTCGAGCCCTAGCTGGGGCTGCCCACTCCAAAGGGTGCCTTACTGCCTCTAACAATGGTAAACCTATGCACATCACCGTTTTAAGGGAGGGTATTACCTGCTGTCAATGCATACAGAAATCATAGATTACATACTTTGCACTTGACATCTATTGGGCAGAAAATAACATGCTTAAATGTTCTGACACATTTACATTTATTGTGAAGGGAAAGCAATATTTTGATCCATTTGGACCTGATAAAGGGCCATCTTTGTTGTCTTTAAAGAAATAGTTGTCTGCCTTGTGATCCATTATATTTTTTTGCCTAAGGATGCTTGAAAAGTGAGATGTAACACAAGATCTTCTTGATTACAGTAAGGACTTCTGTTCGGGCCTCGAGTAATCTGGTGGAAGTGTTTGTAGATGGCAAGCCTGTGATGGTGGAACCAGGGACTACTGTACTTCAGGTGATGACTCTATAATAAGTTGTGTGTTCAGTCATTGTTGAATGGAAACATGTTCTCTAAGCTGCTACGTCTGTTTACTCAGGCCTGTGAGAAAGTTGGAGTGCAGATCCCTCGTTTCTGCTATCACGAGCGTCTCTCTGTGGCAGGAAACTGCCGAATGTGTTTGGTGGAGATTGAGCGAGCGCCAAAGGTAATGTGTTCCTATACAGGACCCTATTTTTGAGTGCAGTATATGTAGGCCTTGGAATTTTCTGTCAGGCTAACTTACCCATGGGACATGACAGGCTTGTTTTCTGTCAGACAGTGTTAACGAGTGCACCATTGCCCCCTTCTTTCCGCTCTGCCCAAAATTTCACACGGTTGTCCCCAGATGTTCTCGTTATGAGATCATGTCTGGCCTTGCAAGAGTAGATTTATTCAGGAATTAGGCTGCATGATTTATGCACGCAACCTTATTGTTTTTAATTGTGAGATTTTCCATTTAAAATGGGTTTAGTGTGTAAAATATGTTAAAGTATGAGAGAATCAGCACTTATTTTACCAGGGCTGTCAGGATCATTAAAGTTTAGCTGAAGATTAATTTTTACATGAATAATTGCAATTAATGTTTTAATTTTCTTCTTTTGTTAATTGTGTGCAACTACTAAAACACAAGCCTGAAGTGGCCATGTTAGCTGTTTTAGCTGTCCTTTTTCCTTGCTGTTTACTCAAACTAATGTCAGTAATACAGTTATACAAAATCATGCGTAAAGTCAAAGCTATTTCTTTTCTTAAAAAAAAATATAAGGAAGAAGAAAACACTCATTCTGCTAACATACCACCTAAAAACATTAGAATTTTCTACCTAGTTAACAAATAAACTTTATTCATGCTGCCACCACAAAAACAAGTTGGAGTACCAAGTTTTAAGAACTTTTTTGTGTTCATGAATTCCCTGGTTTCTCAATGCAAGTTTTTATTTACTGCTTTTTAGTTATGTTTATTTGTCTTAATCCAGCACACATTTTGCTTGTTGTGTAATATGATGGTTAAGTCCAACAACGGTGGAAAACGATTGCAGTCAGTGTAAATAATTGTGATCATCTTATATAATTGTGATAATGTAATAATTGTTACTAACCAAGGGACTGTTTATCAATTGATCTACTTTATTATGCTGGGAATGACGTTATTATTATTATTATTATTATTATTATTATTTAAACTTTTTAAATATTGCTATCAGCAATTTTGAACAAGCTTAAAACAAGACTGACAAGGTTTAGCTTGCCAAGACTGCCGCTTGCAGCAAGAGCTGTACTGGTCAAGTAATTGTTTACCATTATTTTCTAAAAATATCTCCTGTTCTTTACTGGTAGCCTGTGGCAGCATGTGCTATGCCTGTCATGAAAGGATGGAACATTCTCACAAACTCTGAGAAGACACGGAAGGCCAGGTCTGTTGTCATATTTTACTTCTGACTCTCTAGACCTATTTACTAGTATCTGCCAAGTTATTGTACTACTTTAACTTCATATTTATTCTGGTAGAGAGGGAGTTATGGAGTTCCTTCTTGCCAATCACCCTCTTGACTGTCCAATCTGTGACCAAGGAGGAGAGTGTGACTTGCAGGTAGGGAAGACTTTGAAGGCTTTTTTTTTAATTCTCAGTTACAGCTGAAGTCACGTTGTAAATGCGTTTCTGGTGTATGATTGTAGGACCAGTCAATGATGTTTGGTTCGGACAGAAGTCGATTTACAGAGGGGAAGAGAGCAGTGGAGGATAAGAACATTGGCCCACTCATCAAAACAATCATGACACGCTGCATTCAGTGCACACGTTGCGTCCGGTAAGTGAATTATTTGTTCAGTGTGTCAGCTCTGCCTTATTGTAAATTATTCATTATTATACTTCATAGCTGTTATATTATATATTATGATGTTATACATTATGTTTGATAACTGCATAGTTGTTTGAATTCAAACCAGGTAATGTATTTGAAGTTTTTCTGTTTTTCCTTAATTGATAATTGTAGAAACTGTATTTGGTCAATATGAGTCAGAATGGATTGCTTAGAACTGATGTAACAGTATACACAATATTCAGTTCATTACACTGACATGAGACATTGTTCTATTGTTTATTTCAGCTTTGCTAGTGAGATTGCAGGCGTGGAGGATCTGGGCACCACAGGCCGTGGGAACAGCATGCAGATTGGCACCTACGTAGAGAAAATGTTCATGTCTGAATTGTCGGGGAATGTGATCGATGTGTGTCCTGTAGGAGCTCTGACATCTAAACCCTACGCTTTCACAGCCCGACCCTGGGAAACAAGGTAAAATGGAGTAGTTTTGCAATCAGTAGAAACAAAAATCCATTCAAAGCAACTACTCAATAATGTGTTTGAATTTTGCTAATAGGAAGACAGAATCCATTGATGTCCTTGATGCAGTGGGTTCTAATATCGTGGTGAGCACAAGAGGTGGTGAAGTAATGAGGGTCCTGCCGCGCCTCAATGAAGATGTAAACGAGGAGTGGATCTCAGACAAGACCAGGTGAATGCCTAGAAAATGCTACTGCCCACCGTTTAACCTTTAACCAATCTAAAGTAATTAAAAATTGCTGAATTTGTGCCCTTAACAATTGCATCATAAGGGCACATACACTAGACAATCATTAGACATTTATTATTTATAGACTCAATTAGAGATATTTCTCCTCTCACATCACCGAATTATCCACTGTGTCGCACGCTATCAATCAAGCTCCTGACTTTGAAATTCACTTTTGATTGGGAAAATTTGTCAAAAGGGACAAATCATGGTAAATACAGGCAAAAAAATTAGTTGATGGCATTTAAATGAGGAGTCATAAGTAATGACTTATACAATAGCATCATACCTTTTGGAACAAGTCGTCAGTTTTTTTCTCTCTCTCAGGTTTGCCTATGATGGGTTGAAGAGGCAGCGTCTGACCCAGCCCATGGTAAAAGATGCCAGCGATCAGTTGGTGCCCACTACCTGGGAGGATGCTCTCATGCGTATAGCTGCTATGGTAATTATCTTAAAGCACTGTGGGGGAAAAATGTTGTAATAAATGTTTTTTGTCATTCACAAGTTTTGTAATTATATGCAAGTAAAAAAACAGTTTGTCTTGTATTGTGGTGTCCCAACCAACAACATAGAAGTAAAATAAGGAAAAAAAAAAATACAATTTAAGAATGAAAATCGTAAGTATTTTTCTGTGCATGATGAATTGTAGTGTACTTCAGTTTTCTTGACACGTACATTTGTGTGTGTGTGTAATTTATGGTTTTGCAGATCCAGGGGGTCCAGGGCTCTGAGATTGCAGCCATTGCTGGTGGAATGGTGGATGCAGAGTCTCTGGTGGCCCTAAAAGACATGTTGAACAAACTGGACAGCGAGCTGCTGTGCACGGAGGAGCTCTTCCCAATGGCTGGTGCTGGGTGAGTTCTGTTCAGTGTTTCTGAGATGTAATGCTGTTTGTGGATGTGTAGTTTTTGGGGGCTTTTTTCTTCCCCCCACACCACTCTCAGCTCATTATATTTTGTATTGAATACAGTCCAAGGTCATGAACAGAGTCAGTGTTTTAGGGAATACACTTTGAACTCTCTTTCTCTCCCCCTGTAACTCCCTCAGAAGTGACCTGAGATCTAATTACCTTTTGAACACCCGCATTGCCGGGATTGAGGAGTGTGATCTGCTGCTTCTGATTGGAACAAATCCACGCTATGAGGCTCCCCTCTTCAATGCACGTATCCGTAAGAGGTGGGTTTCAGTTGAATTTCATTACCATGACAGCAGAAGACATACTGTTCCAATGTGCAATAACATTACTGTGTTATAATAACTCTCTCTCTCTCTCTCTCTCTTTCCCTCTCTTTCCCTTTCTTTCCCCCTCTGTAGTTGGCTACATAATGACCTGCAGGTTGCTTTGGTTGGTCATAACATGGATCTTAGCTACTCTTACAACCATCTGGGTGATTCCACTCAAGTGCTGAAGGAGATCGCTACTGGAAAGCACCCCTACTGCCAGGTACAGAGTCATCATGTGAAACCTTACTACCAGGTTTCTCAGAATCTGAAGTTCTTATTTTATTTGTTTTTCCCCATGTAGTAAATATTGTAATTGAGGTATCAATGACAGGTATAGAGTTAGTCTATTAATATGCAGCAATACAGTTCTCAAGCACTTAGTATAGAATTTGATCTTTTTTTGGCCAGGCAAAAAAGTTAGGCACTGATAGCAGTTAATAAAGCTCTGTCCTCTTGTGTCAGGTGTTGGCCCAAGCCAAGCGACCAGTGGTGGTGGTGGGAAGTTCCTGTCTGCAGAGGGCTGATGGTGCTGCCATCTTGAGCGCTGTATCCACGATTGCTCAGAATGTCCGTGTCAGCAGTGGAGTAGAGGAAGGATGGAAAGTCCTGAATGTGCTGCATAGGTGAGTCCAATTTCATGTCTGTGCCATTTTATTATCACATGCATTGCCTCTGGCCATCTTTAACCTATATTAATGAGATGCTCAGATGACAGCTGTGATCTGAATCCAGTTTTATTCAGCTCTGGTTAGCTTCTCCGTAAATTGAACTTGCCAACCCAAGAGTACTAGTACTGTAAAACACTGTGTAAAACTGTGTCTTGAAATTGCTTACATGAGTTCTTTTCAGCCTTGAACATCAGTAACTATCTTTAGCTGTGTCTGGCTCTATAGCTGGGTGTTTTGAACTAAGCCCTTGTGTCTTTTCTTGCTGTGTCTTTCCAGAGTGGCCAGTCAGGTGGCGGCTCTAGACGTGGGCTATAAACCTGGCGTAGAGGCAATCAGGAAGAACCCTCCCAAAGTGCTGTTCCTGCTGGGGGCTGATGCTGGCTGTATCACCAGAGCAGACCTACCAAAAGACAGCTTTATTATCTACCAGGGTTAGTCTGTGTTGATTTGCTCATTAAAATACTAACAGAGTAAATGCAAACAAACATTAATATAAAATGTTATGAAATTGTCTGTGTAGGTTAGCTCTGCTTCCTGCTTTTGTCTTTGATGCACCTCAGCCATTGCACGTATTAAAAGAATGGTTTAGTGAAAAATCGAATATACAACATTTTGTACTTACCCTACATGTAGTCAATCAGCAGAGACATGTTTGGAGTCAAAATTTTGCTGCTTTAGTTTAGCACTGGAGCTATGAGGCTAACCACCCCCCATAATATACAGCTCATCAGTAAATTAAGAGGCTTAGTTGGTGTGCTAGAGCAGGGAAAATCTACTGCTTGTTAGCAATATTAGCCTCTTAGCTCCAGCACTTAACTGTAGACGCATAATTTGGACACCAAACCTGATCAACTACATCTGAATTAAGAGGTGGATTATGTAACTTAGATTTTTCACTTAAACCAGTGCACCACCAGCATGTGATTTAGGGTCTTCTAACTATCTTACCAAAAACTTTTTTGTTTTTGGTATATTAATGTTTATTTGAAATTATTCCGGTGCTTTGACATTTCATACACAGAACTTTTGCGTAGAACTGTATGTATTTTAGGCTAATTCTATGACATGGGTAAAGCTACAGTAGTAATAGTGGAATGTTCTTAATCCTTTTATCACTAATGCAGGTCACCATGGTGATGTGGGAGCTCCTATGGCGGATGTCGTCCTGCCTGGTGCAGCATACACAGAGAAGAACGGCACATATGTGAACACAGAGGGACGTGCCCAGCAGACCAGGGTTGCAGTTACCCCACCTGGCATTGCCCGTGAGGACTGGAAGATCATTCGGGCTGTCTCTGAGGTACGTGCGAGCGTGTGCGTGGGCACACGCGCACACACACACAAAATATTATGGAGATTTTGTAAAATTGTGTCTGCTCTCAATAGCTTTCAGGCTATCAGACATTAACATTTTGATTTCAGGCACCTAATGCAGGTAGTCTTTATCAGATCATGATGTTATGTATTATATATATCATACATCATGAAGTCATACAGTGTGCTTTGTGTGTGCTAGCTGGCTGGAGTCACTCTGCCCTATGACACATTAGAAGAGGTGAGGGACAGGCTGGCAGAGGTGGCCCCTAACCTGGTACGTTACGATGACGTGGAGGAAGCGAACTACTTCAAGCAGGCTAATGAGCTCTCTCAGGTTGGTCTCTTGCTTTTGCTTGTTCTCACTTTATCTTGTCGTTTTCTGACCAGACCAGTGACAATGATTTTAACATTTTCTCCTCCCAGGCTGTGAATCAGTCACTGCTTGCAGACCCTCTCGTTCCCCCTCAACTCTCTGTGAAAGACTTCTATATGACAGGTAAAAATCCTGAATTTTCTCTTTTTATTTAATTAGAAAGAGTGAATGGGGCTTTGTATGCTTTGTTGAAGAGACATTAACCTGCATTGTGTTAGAGTTATAATGCTCATGCTGGATTTTGTTCTAAATTTCTGAAATTTGCTCCTATTTTAATCTTCATAGACTCCATCAGCAGAGCCTCCCAGACAATGGCTAAGTGTGTGAAGGCTGTAACCGAGGGAGCAGAAGCAGTAGAGGAACCTGCCATCTGCTAAAAATCACATGCAGACACACCAATACCTACTTGTCCACTGTAACTTACTCCCATCTGTCATCTTCACACACTCTTTTAAGAACTGCACCGATGTTTCAGCATCCTTTTTCCCTGAACGGGTCCTACAGCTGAAATGTTCGGGTTTATCTGGCTCTTATTTAAATATGCTCAAAAGAACATTGTAAAGATTTCATTCCCACACTGAGATCGAGGGAGAACTGCTTTGTTATTGAAAGCTCGTATGATGAAAATAAAACTGTATTATGTCAGTTCTCTGCATGTTTGCTATCTGTGCTGCCAAAAACATTACATACATTCAAAACACCCCAAGTTAAGAAGCACAGGGTGTCTGATCTCATCCACAAAGGGATGGTGTGGCTACAGTTTTTCACCTGAACTAGGCAGGAACACAGATGATCAGTTATTTCAAGAGTGAAACAAACAGATTAAACAAGTGAAGTCAGCTTGTTTGGAATGAAAATCTGCAGCCTGACCAGCCCTTGGCAAATAAGACTGGACACCCCTGCTATATGATGTGTTAAGCTCTGTAGCAAAGGTAGGGAACTGCAGTCCTGGGTGCAGGGCTGTGTCTGGCAGTTCAGTTGGCACAGCTTAGTTGGCTCTTGACGCCAACTAAAACCAACAATTGACTATTGAATTGAATCAGATGCGTTTGAGTATGAAAATCAACTGTGCTGGACTTCACCACCTTTGTTGTATTGAAAAGGGGCTGTTAGATGCTAAAAGTTTCAGCATTTTCGAGGATTTTTCTTTCAGTTAATATATGTTACACACCATTTCTGTGGTTTTGTTGTGTATGAGCGCTGTATATATCATTTTTTTTTCCCCTTTACCTTAAATGATTTTCCTGGGAAGTATTTAGAAATTAGTTGTTTCAAGTTTTACTTCTTACTGTAAATGTCCAATTTGGTAGATTCTTAAGGAACTGCCCTTCAGTAAGCTCAGTGTAACAACCCTGGTGACATCACACAAGGTTTGATAGGGGGCATCTGTCGTTACACTTTGCATTTGACACAGACCTGCACTGTACTTATCATTTTGCAGACTTTAAAAACATCCTGTATCACTTAAAAATGAAGTCGGTTAACGTGTGTCAACATTTCAGTTGGACGCAAAGGATCCGAACAGCTCTGCCTTTGAAAAGTCAACTTCATGATGTCACTGCGAGCTTGAATGAGACGTGTGATGATGATGAGGCTGCCGGGGGAAGACTTGAGGGAGATACCCCTTAAAGTTAAAATCAATGACAGGGGGTCAAAACAAAGCAAAACTATGGGTGGCTCACTCGTTATAGCACGACAGGGAACTCTTCATTCAAAGGTTTCAGTGTTTTTCATATTTGAGAACGAGCAGCTTTAGAAAAGACGGGCAGAGAAAGTTGAATTCCAAAATGGTTGCAGAGGTTGTTGTTGTACTGTTGCCTGTTGTCATGTCCCCCCAGTGCCTGTAGTAGTGCTGTAAGAAGCCTCGGTCCGCTGACAAAACCAACACCCTCTTCCCGATCTATAACGGCTACTTTTATCGAAATAACAGGCGCTGAAATGCCTGCAGCTTTCGGGCAAAAACATACGCGAGGGCGAAATTAGGACAACCGCAGGGAAAACGCGGAAAAGCGGAGCCGGAATAACCCCGGTTAAGTCTAACAGCCGTCGACCGTAGGAAAACTGCTACTTATCTAGCCAATGCTAACTGGCTAAGCTACACTCGGAAGCGCAGCGGCTCGCCAAGCACCGGGACTCGGCGAGAGCGGGAGGCCGCATAGCGCGCGAGGCAGAGCGGGTTGCTCGCAACCCGACTCGGAGGATTTCGAGGGTCTCGTAGGCCGACGGTAACTACGAATTTCGATTTTAAAAAACAGACATTTCTTGCAGTTTTTACACTACACCACTCAGTTTAACGAAGAATTTAACGTAATCCAAGTCAACAAAAATGCAAAAAAAGCGAATTTAAGAGAGTGAGATTTTAAAACGTCAAAACGATTTTAATCCACGGCCCCCAAACAATGTAATCCCTTTAAAATCATAATAATAAGGTAATTATAATAAACGGTTCGCTCTAAACGAGTATTTTGCAACGATAGACGAAAGGCAGCTCATTTGTAACTATAATATCTTTGTTTTTTTATGTGGAGAACTTAACCTAGCTGGGTTAGCTGCAGCTAACGTTAGATTATTTCCGCTCTGGCTGTTTTCCGTCTTTATTCCCAGTAAAATAACCGAACGGTTTGGACTGCGCTGCACGCCGTCTAGCCTAATCCGAGCCTCATAAGTAACTGATAATGCTACCCGAGTGCAAGATAGAATAGGAGGCGGGAAGGTTGTCCACCGTCCCCTTGCGTTTTCAAACTTGCTTTGCATATCAAACGTATCGTACTCTGCCCATCCAGCTCTAACGTTACTGTAACGCGGTATGATTTACAACTTCACCCGCTAAAAACAGCTGCCTGTCCTACCATCACTGATTATTGATTACTTAAAAACGGGACTGCTTTAGTCCACCGTTTACCGGGCACAATTTAAAAGATTTCCTGTTCAACTTTTAAGATTTTCCGCCCTTGCTATTAATAGAGTCCTGGATATTACTAATTTATAAGTTTTTATATATTTGCTTTATGCTTGATTATCATAACCCTCAGTACTTTAGAATGACAGAACATATGGGTTTATAATTGGCAATAAGTACATTCAATAAAAGAAGGGATGCACTGATATGGGATCTGTGGGCCGATGCTGATTTCTGGTAGTTTTTATGTTCTGTATTTCTACAGAAATGTAGAAATTGGGACTAGATGGGTGCAATAAATACAGGGTGTAGTGTATACATCATTAAATATCGGTTATGAAATAGCGGCCAAATCTAAACGTCTGTCTGAGGCTGTTTGTTTTTTTTAACCAACCATCTGCCGATACCGATATCATTGTGCATCCCTACTATCAATGTTTGTAGGTTTTTTTACCAGTTATAAGATACTCAAAATAATGGATATGGATTATTATATTCACATACACCCAGGCTGTTGTGATGGTTGATGTAATTATTAATCTGCTTTCAAGTTCCACTACAAAGGAACACCTTCACACTTTCCTTTCATGTGTCTACCTGGCAAACGTGTGATGTGGATCTAAATTAAGTTTCCGAATGTAGCACTGGTTCATGATTGTCATTGTTTCTTGTTAGAGTTACTGTAGAGGAACAGGGTTTAAGTATAGCAACATATGTGATGCTTATTTTACAAAGCAGACTTTCTCAGTTATCTGGCTAAGCCTTGCTTTACCAGACTTACTTGTGTGGGTTGCTAAAATGCTGCTTCTTTTAAATACCCAATATAATCAGTAGTTGCATCATCTGAAAATAAAAACGAGATATCCCATATCCCATATTTGCAAGCACCCTGCTACCTGATCTCTTCTGTTGACTTATTGTTTATTTCAATTGCCAAATATTTTTCTGCCAGCTGATGTTCCGGAGAGTTCCAGCACTGGAATGTATGAAGGGAAACACATCCACTATTCGGAGGTGGACCGCAAGCCTCTGTGTTCATACAGCCCAAAGCTCTGCAAACAGCGCCGGCTCAATGGCTATGCTTTCTGCATCCGGCATGTTCTGGAGGACCGGACGGCTCCTTTCAGGCAGTGTGAATATGTAGCCAAATACAACAGTCAGCGCTGCACTACCCCCATCCCCAAGACTCAGGACCGCAAGTAAGTGTGTGCCTGTTATGCAAGTAGTATACACTTCATAGCCACTGGGGCCCAGACCCTAGTTAAGCCAGTGCATGCATGAAAATGGTTATTCTTAGGTGTGGTCTACTCATGCTTTGTTCATTCTTAATAGATATTGTAGCAGCCACCTGCAAGTCATGGGTGTCCTGCCTAAGAAAGAGAGGAAGAAAAAGCATGATACTCTTGAATCTTTGGCCCTCAACATCACTGTGCCCTCCTTGGCTTTGAAGGCCCCCAATGGCCTTGACCACTCAACCCCATCCTCACCCTCCTCCCTCACTTGCCTGCTGCCCTTGGACCCCTACGTCTACTGCAAGGGAGAGACAGTGAGGAAAGAGGGCATTAGCTTGGGGAAGAAACCTCCAAGCCGCCTGTCTCCTAACCACAAACAGAGACATGCGACCCCAGCTATTTCCCCACTGTCCTCTTCCCCCCGGGGTCCTACTATTTCTTCTCAGCAGGCTGAAGGACCCATGCAGGTTTCTGCAGCTCCCACCTTGCCTCCAACACCCATGTCACAGCTCCCCAGAAGCTCTTCAGGGACATTATGCACAACATCTGCTCAGACTGATCACCAGACCTTGACAAAACCAACCAATCCCATTCCAGAGATGTGCCAGGAGCCTGCCCTTGATAAGAGAATTCTATCAACTCAGCCAGGCAGGAATGACATACACGGCCACCCAGTTATGAGGCCGTCAAATCCCGGACAGAATCAGGCTCCCTTTTTGGTGCAGCTCCAGAGGCTGATGGCGCAGCAGAGGAGAAAGCATGAGGATCTGAATCCACATTTTGGTGTGTAACTGATAATCCATGACTTCACTGAGTCTTTCATAACCACTTTGAAATAGCACATTAGTGTTAGCCATTGAAATGAGCTAACAGGTTGTTTTGCAGGGCTGGACTGGTCTGAGGAGAGTGGAGAGGAGGAAGATGGCCAGGTTGGACGAGTTGTGTCATATCAGCATCAGTGCTTACACGAGAAACGGTCTGTGGAGAGGTATGTTCAGTTAGTTATTCACTGGTTTGCATAGATAGGAATGATAGGTATGTTGATAGTATGTTATTCAAACATCCTGTAACTAAAACTTTCAGCTAAAAATTTGGAAAAAAAAACAAATCAGCCAGGCTCCTAAGAGGCACAGCTATTTAAGCATGTGCTTGTGGGAGATTGTGAGTTCGATCCCTGGTAACGCGGTAGCCATCTGTGATCAGGTGTCCAATAGGGTTGGGTAGAATGGCCCTTCTTCATCTCCCA